TGATCAGACGAATGACCAAATATAATGTTGTTATTTTCACTAACATAACATTTACAACACTTTCTATTCCATTAATATGGTCAGTTTATTTTAACAAATTGTGTTAAACATTTAAAGTATCTGTAGATGATTCATGCTGACACAATACCCGTGAAGACCCGCGGTAGAATAGGTCTTCAGCAACCCATGCTTGCCGTAAAAGGCGACTATGCTTGTCGTAAGAGGCGACTAACGGGATCGCATGGTGAGGCTCGCTGACTTGGTTGATGCATGTCATCGTATCCCAATTGCGTGATGTCAATCACTGGATTGTCTGGTCCAGACTCGATTATTTACAGACCGCCGTCATATAGCTATATTGCTGGGTGCGGCGTTAAACAACAGACAAAGAAACAAACATGATAACACATCAACTAAACAAGCCCAGTACCATGCTCGAAATTGTAAAGCCGTATATACAGGCCTAATGGTTGTCAAGTTGCAGAACACACTAGCTGTACACACAGTCATGAATATAAGTCCGGTTGTGTTTTGCGCCGTGACCGTTCATGTAATATAAAATAACAGGTATGTTTTGTGAGAACTGCAACTTACAAAAACTTTACTTGGGTCACGGAGACTCAAAAAAATCTTCCCTTTTCTCTTATTTGACCAATGTTTTTGTGTTTAACCTGAAATCACAAACTTGCAAGTGTTAGACAGACAGAAAAAGGCTAGTTTGAACATGAGTGATAAATCTTATAAATGTTTCACTGTTCTGCAATGACATACGACGTTTTGCAGCCGTTATCCATTCCCCTATGGATCACAACCCAGCACCTTCCATTATATACTGCTCTAAGAATAGAACCAAGCCTTTATCTAACCTTTACGTCGCTATATAAGTGCAATAATCTTGGACCCGACGTTAAACCCCATTTCACCTCACCTTATCTAACCTTTACAAAGTCGTTGCCAATAGGGTCACCACCACCTTAGCTCCCCTGCAGTGGCAACACCCAGGACGTATTTATCAATGTGTTGCAAGAACTCAGCTAATGACGGTTTTCGTGCACAGAGTAAACATTGGCACTGATAAAATACTTTAACTCCCATGGCCAGCTGATTGACTGACTGATATAGGAGATTTAACGTGCGCTTTCCGACTGTAGCGTATTTCGCACACGGGCCAGCTAGGTGAACACATTGATCTTATATAACCCCTGGAGGAGTTGTTTGAGGAGTGAAAACATGTATAGTGATACAATATAGCTGAAAAGGATAGCAATCTAATTACTCGGGTCAACCATCAAGTGCCATGTGATATTACTAATTCTACAAGGTATTTCCTAAATAGCGCCATGGGCACAATGAGTGAGTGAGTTGGGGTTAACGCCGCTTTTAACACTATTCCAGTTGGATCACGGCGTGTCAGCTTAATGTGGGAGGAAAGCCGAAAGTGATGCAGGTCTAGGACGTTTATCACTTCGGTGAAACCCACGAGCACGGGTATGGTGCTGACAAACCTAGAAACATAATCGGGGCGAACCGGAACTCGAACCCACAATCATAGGTTTCTGGCGTGCCCAAGGGACGCAACTCTGCACAGCGAATTGCGGCGCCTTAGACGACTGGGACAACCGATCCCCCTGGGCACAATGAAACTCCTAAGATATGTTGCCCTTGTAAAGGTTTTGTTGTGATTTGTTGTGATGTCCTTGTCAAAACTCGTGACCTTCTCATTGAATTATTTTAATTCATATATACATTAATAAAAATGTATTGACATTTTACGATGCAAATACAGTAAACTACGGTTATAACGAACTCAAAGGGACCACTCATTTTAGTTCGTTATAACCGTAGTTCGTTATAAGCATATATACAGCATATATACAGCAAATTGCCGGGACTAAAAAATCAGTTCGTTATATCCGTCAGTTCGTTATAAGCGTGTTCGTTATAAACCTAGTTTACTGAATTCAAATCCATTGAAACAATATTCAGTGAAACATTTCTGATATCAAAACATATTATCGACAATGAATCTGCCAAGCCAATAGTGTTATTTCGTGTAGATTAATGTATAGTATGACCCAAGTTCGACGTAACGACGTTTCACTGCAGAAAGCCTTGTATACTCTGCTGCACAATATCATTCTTGTATTGAACTGACTTGCCATGCATGTATTTGAATAACCAGGTTTGAAATGGGCTGGCAGTGTGCGAGCTTTTATAACCAAGTGACTTTCTTGTTGTCGAAGATTGAAGGAACACGTCTTCAGTGTTTGTCATTAATTCATTAACGTGAAAGGGGCGGTCGGGTAGCCTAGTGGTTAAAGCGTTCGCTCGTCACGCCGAAGACCCGGGTTTTATTCCCGACATGGGTACAATATGTGAAGCCCATTCTGGTGTCCCCCGCCGTGATATTGCTGGAATATTGCTAAAAGCGGCGTAAAACCATACTCACTCACTCATTAACGTGAATTGGTTAGAATTGGTCCCCTATTTCATGGAACTGGTGGTGAGACAAGGTGACTTGATTGAGTATCATCATGGCGTAGGTCGATGCCTGCTCCAGATTCTGTGAGTGAGTGAGTTGGGTTTAACGCCGCCTTGAACAGTATTCCAGTTATAGTACGGCGTGTCAGCTTTATGTGGGAGAAAAGCCCGAAGAGATGCAGGTCTAAGACGTTTACCTCTTTGGTGAAACCAACGAGCACGGGTTTCATGCTGACTAACCTAGAAACACAATCGGGGCGAACCGGAATTCGAACCAACAAGCATAGGTTTCTTGGAAGTATCGGTGACGCAACTCTGTACAGCGAATTGCAGCGCCTTAGAAGACTGGGCCACTCGTGTCCCAGCTCAAGATCGGAACATTTACCAAACAACAAACAAACAAATGTTCTAACCTCAGTGAGAAGGAGGCACGTGGGGGTAGCCAGTCCGTTTTACGCTTTCGCGGCAAACAATTACCTAAGATCCGGGTTCCAGATATGATTAAAGTCTGTGAAATGCATCCATCAAGGACCGTGGAGAACAGATCTTGTTTCAGTTGACACGTGGTTGAGTGAACGATTTTTGCTTAACGCCGCACCAGCAATCAGCTGACCTGTCCTGGTGGCACTACTTTATTATGATAAAGTTACAGAATCGTTATTTATGTCTTATCAACACAACGACAGTTAGATAACGGAACCAAGAAGGCATACATTGTAATTGTATTCACTAAAACGTTGTTTCCAGACAGTCATATGACAATTTCATATGTGTATAAATGGAAGATGTTTTATGTCGCAGATAACCTAGTATTCTTGTCCTTTATTTGATGCCAAAAGTTTGACACATCACTGTTCATTACGACATGGAGTATTGAGCTATAATACAAAATTTATCCTGATATGTCTGTTTGTTGTCGCATTCGTATTTAATTTACACAACCTTAATAAAAAAAATAATAATAAAAAGATTAATTTTAAGTAATATCAAAATTCCATGATATATCTGTTTGTTATCATATCTTAAATAAATATCAAAATTCCATTATAAGATTTATGTATGATTGTTATTGTATTCGTATTCAACTGAACAGCCTTCGTGAAACAGAATAATAAAAAGATTAGCTTCAATAAATATCAAACTTTCATGATATGCATATTTACGTATTTTAATAAATATTGAAATTGCGTAATATGCATGTTTGTTATCGTATTCAATTACACAGCCTTCATGAAACAATACAATAAAAGATTAATTTTAATAAATATCAAACATTCAGTATATGTTTGTTTGTTATCGTATTCTTATGAACAAACATAAAAAGATTAATTTAAATAAATATAAAAATATCATGATGTGGCAAATTGTTATCTGATTCGTATTCTATTTACACTCCCTTCATGAAAGAAATTAATACAAAAATAATTTTAAGAAATATAAATTTCATTATATGTCAGTCTGTTATCTTATTTTAATAAGTATCAGAATGTCACAATGTCTGTTATAGTATTCGTATTAGATTTACACACCCTTCATGTAAAAAAGACGACTTTTAATCAATTATTATATCAAAAGTTAAGTGTTGACACGAGTCGCCATTAGATTTGGGTTTGCACGTTCTCTATTTTAATAAAGTTCACTATAATCAAGAGATACAGAATCCATATTCATCATAAATACCCTTTGAATCTGTTAAAATCAATGTTGCCATTATGGACATATATTCCATCCCTGAAGCCCCACCTGTACCTAAGAGTTTTAGGCAGATAGAATAGCATCACGATATGTTTTCGGAACATTGCCCTTCAAACTGCATTTCCATTAAGTTTTCAAAAAGGGAAGTTAATCCTTTTTAACGATATTAGGGAATTGAAAACATAATTAATAACAGTGACGTGAGAGTGAATGTTGTGTTACTCCACATTCAACAATATTTCAACATACAAATCTTACCCAGAAGACCTGTGGTTGACAACGGCGCTAGCCTGCCAGACCGGGGCTAGTAAAATGTCAGCAGGACTGGTGACGAGTTTGCAAATTTACCTTTTATACATTGATATATTCGAACAGTTAGTCTCGATTAACCTCGCGAATACCTTGATTACATACAGCATTCAGTATTAGTGAGTGAGTGGGGTTTACGCCGCTTTTAGCAATATTCCAGCAATATCACGGCGGGGGACACAAGAAATGGGCTTCAAACATTGTACCCATGTCGGGAATCGAACCCAGATCTTCGGCGTGACGAGCGAACGCTTTAACCACTAGGCTACCCGACCGCCCGCATTCAGTATTACATTTTTTTCATTTACAGACAACTAACAGGAAGGAACGACGCGATGGTACGTGACTGTACCCGTATTATTACAGAGATGACTGTACTATTTTATTTTATTTCATCGTTGCACATTTTCTACATCAGAACGTAATCGTAAGTTAAATATCAGAGTTGCCAGAGACGAAACATTGCACGATCAAGGAAGTATTTCCAACCTTAAGCTTGCAGTGATCACGTGTTTCCTTTGTCTGACAGGTAAATTATAAAGTGACTTGCGTGTCAACTGAACTCACGGTTTAAGGCAATATCTACAACGTCTCTGGGATAAGCGATTTCAATCTATCGGATCTTTCAAGGCACAAAGTGTCTACCTTCAGGTAAGAAATAGTGTGTTTTAGAGCCTCAGGGCTAGTGAGTGAATATGGTTTTTCGCCGCTTTTAAAATGTTTTTAGCAATATTACGACAGTTGGTGTCATTAACATATTGTACCAATCTAAGGAATCGAGCTGTAGTCTGTGGCAAGACGAGCAGGCACTGTATTTCATTCTCGGGAATATATATAATTTATTATATATTATTTAAAATATAGTCTATGGCAATTAGGGTAATATCGCTAGTAAAGTACTTTAAGGAGTACTATGAGCGGCGTACAGTGAAAATCAGATAAGCAAAACATGTTGTTTTCGCATGCTCTTGTCTGATATTCATCGAATCATTTCTGACACACACTTGACATTTGAATGTTATCATTGTAATTGTCATGGGATGATTGTCGTAAAAGCGTGTTACTAAACGAAATTCTTGACGTAGTTTATGAGATTCATCTGTCGCAAGTGTGTTACTGAACGAGAGTTGTAACGTTGTCTTTGTTGTGCATGTCGTAAATGAATGTTAGTGCACGTATATCATAACGAAGTGTACATATTTTGCTGACGTAAATGAATGTTACAGGTTTTCGTCTATCGCCTATCGTGACTAAAAGCATCACGTTGTGTTTAATTATCATCTGTCGTAAATACATGTAGCCATGGCGGAATGTACGTGGATATGTTACGTCTGTCTTGAAATCATGCTACCAAAGTTATGTCATGAAATTTAGTCATTCGTAAATTCATTAGTCTGAACGTTCTGAACTGATTCGTCCTGACTTTGTGAATAAGTTTCAACCGTCGAAAAAGCGTGTTACTGAACGTAAGTCATAGCGTAGTGTGTAAATAACGTTTGTCGTTAATCGTGTTACTTACGTAACGTCCCTTTGTAGTGTATATGTCAGTCGTAAAATCGTGTTAGCGAACGTCGTATAAGTTACGCCTGCTGTAAGTGCCGGTTACTTAACGTATGTCATGGCATAGTCTACAAGTTTCGCCTGCTGTAAGTGCATGTTACTTAACGTATGCCATGGCATAGTGTATAAGTTTCGCCTGCTGTAAGTGCGTGTTACTTAACGTATGCCATGGCATAGTGTATAAGTTTCGCCTGCTGTAAGTGCATGTTACTTAACGTACGTCATGGCATAGTGTATAAGTTTCGCCTGCTGTAAGTGCATGTTACTTAACGTACGTCATGGCATAGTGTATAAGTTTCGCCTGCTGTAAGTGCATGTTACTTAACGTACGTCATGGCATAGTGTATAAGTTTCGCCTGCTGTAAGTGCGTGTTACTTAACGTACGTCATGGCATAGTGTATAAGTTTCGCCTGCTGTAAGTGCGGGCTGTAAGTGGGTGTCGTAGTGTATCGCCTGTCGTAAATGCGTTTTACTGAACGTTCATCAAGGCGTAGTATAGATGTTACGATTGTCGTAAATACGATTTTTCTGAACGTTCATCAAGGCGTAGTATAGAAGTTACGACTGTCGTAAATACGTTTTTCTGAACGTTCATCAAAGCGAGTTTCGACTGTCGCAAATGCTTGCTAGTGAATGTACGGCATGGCGTACAGTATAAATAACGTTTGTCGCAAATCGGGTTACTTAACTAACGCCATGACGTTGTAGATATGTTTCGCCTGTCGTAAAATCGTGTTACCGAAGTAACATAAAGTAATGTTTTTATTCATCTGCCGTAATTGTGTGTTAGCGGACATACGTCATGACGCAGTAAATATTTTTCGTCTGTCGTAGATGCGTGTTTCTTAACGTAGGTCGTAACGTAGTGTATATATTTAGCCTGTCGCAGATGCGTGTTAATGGGAAAACTTTAATGAGAATTTTGAATTGTTTAGTTTTAGTTTCAGGTTTGTGTGAAGTGATGGATGTCAGTTATCCCTGTGTTCTGCTACTGGTGATATCTGCTTCAACAGGATCAGGTAGGATTATCTCAATATTACGGCAATTGAGGGCTTTTTATGACATAGTGGCACATTAAATACATGCGAAACCGGAAGGTTTTGATTTTGAACAGCCAAGATATCAGACGTTTTGCAGTATTAAATACAGGAAATTGCAAACATGCAAGAAGACATACGCAATAAAGTTGAAAAGCCATTGGTAAAACTAAATGAAGTGCAACGTGTCTTATTAAATTATCAAATTAATGATTGGTACACGTTTCACAATACTCTCCAACAACACATAAAATGCACCATGAGTAAGCCATAGGCTGTTTCAAAAGCACAACCAGCCCCATAACGTTTGGTTATCTAAGTGATAGCGCCCGATTACGAAAACCTCTCGGTCAAAAGCTATGTACACAAAGGACTCAGAAACTAAATGTGTGAGATCAGTGCCTCCCATGTGCCTCCCTGTGCTATTTTCAAGAACTAGTACACTTCCCTGCCACTGATTCCTGACATAAACCCGTGACATCTTCGAGTTTAAGCACAGTTAATGTTTCTTCCTCAGAGGCGCCAAGATTGTATATGATATGCATTTTATTTAAATATATTTAAATTCTAAACGCGTTTAAATTTTAAACATGTGTAAACGTGTTTAAATTCTGAACACGTTTAAATGTGTTTAAATTCTAAACATATTTTGATTATGGGGATGTTGAGTTTAGGTTATATTCAGGCTGTGAGACGATAGCTCATTTAATGTGTTTTGACCCTTAACATGTAATGATAGAACACACCATGTATGTATTCCGTTTAGGATTTACACACATTCTAAAACATATTTAGACTTAACAATGTTTTACATTCTAAACACATTTTGTACAGTGTATGATGAGAGAGGTACAACACTTACAATAAGCCTAATTTCAAAGTATTTTTGCATGATTGTAAAGTGTATCAAACGAAGATGTCTTTATTAATAATAAAAATATTCCATTTGAAAAAAAGCTAACATTTTTTTAATAAACAAAGCTAGAAATGTATATTAATACCTTGATGGAAATGATAATTGTGTGATGCGATACATCTGGGTGTACCTAACTGATGTTACCCATTCGTTTACGAAGCATACCATGATGAACCGCAAAAGAAATGTCACCATGGACAGATATATGAGAAAACTTATTTGTCCAAACACTGTAAACATAGTTTGAGACATAATAAAAGATAAAACTTGGCAAAACTGATCATCCAGGTTGAAATTAAAGTGTCAAACGTTCTTAAAGTGAAACACATCGCTTGTCTATGAGAAAATGGCATTGCAAGTCAGTATCTCGTGTCCGTCATGTGCATTGATGACTGCCGTGCAACGTCGATACATGGAATGAATGAGGCGGTTGATGAAGGCCATAGGCACTTGAGTCCGCACTCTAAGGAACGCCTGACGCAGGTCAGCTGCAGTTGTCGGCCTTAGTCGGACGTCATTCAGCCGTCTATGAATCTCGTCCCACAGGTGCTCAATGGGATTTAAATCGGGACTGAGGGCAGGCCACTGCATGGTTCTTATGCCATTGTGCTGGAGGAAGTCTCTTGTTGCTTTCGCAGTGTGGGCACGGGCGTTATCATGCTGAAACGCGTGGTTGCGGCGACCTGCCAAATGAGGTATGGCGTGGTATGGTCTCATGACTTAATCAATGTACCGAGTTGCTGTGACACCATTGCCTCTCCCTTGACCGATGTTCTGGAAGACCACAGGGCCGACCCTCTGTGCAAGACCAACAACACAAGCATCCGAATAACGTTCCCCACGGCGTCGCCAGATTCTCTCTCTATCTCTCTCTGCCATCTGCTGTTGAGATACAGTAACGGCTCTCGTCCGAGAAGAGGACTCTTCTCCACTGCTGGTGGCGCCAATGCTGGTGCTGTGCTGCCCACCGGAGATGACGTGGTGTCAGAATGGGTCTACGCACGGTGTCCGCACTAATGTGTCGCTGGTGTGTCCCCATGGTCTGTCGAGCAGTTTCCGCAGCAGTAACCAAGCGATCTTGAAGATGTTGTCGCACAATCTGACGATCCTGACGTCGGGTACTGACCCTTGGTCTTCCACTACGTGGTCGGTCATCTGTAGTGTTGGTGGTCTGGTACCGTTGCTGGAGCCTGTATATGGTCCTTACGTGGACTTGAAATGCATTGGCTACTTGCATTGCGGTTTGTCCAGTTTGCTGATATCTTGTCAATCTTGGCATGAGGTAGCAATTCAATAACGAATGAATTAAACCTGGGCGGATTTTTATAGGACAAGCAATGGGGGAACGCATGTGCATTTCAATTTGCACGGAAGTCACGTGCATCGGGTCACCATGGCCGTGGCCGTAATGCGTTTGGGAGATCGGTTTTTTTGTCATCTGCTTTGTTTTTTTATCATCAAATTTCATTTTTCCGGACAAGGTAATGTTAATATTGACAAAAATTACCCAGACATTCAAATAACAACTTTTCATGCAATGTGACTTGGGGGTAACGTTTCTTTTGCGGTTCAGTATTTATTAGCAACATTGCCTTAAATAATAATAATAATAATAATAATAATAATTAGGGACAAAATCCAATATGCCCATATCAAGGAAAAGCTCCGGGCAGAGTACAAATGTAGACTTAAGAAAATCTGGAGTCATAAGTCGCAATAAAGCCACAAATACTTGGCCGTTCATATTCTATTTGTGTTGTTGAGTGGACGAAACAAGAATTTCAGGGTACGGACACCCTAACATGAAGAATTATGTCAGACAATAGATCCCACCACCCTCGCTCTTCCCTCACTTACTTATATTTACCAATCATTATGGGAGGGCGTGGTTTGATTAACGTGGCTGCAGCTTCACCGTCAATGTGTAATTTGGCATCAAAATATAAATATGAAATGTAGATTATGTAATGAATGAAATGAGACTGTCCAACACATTGTCAGTGGATGCCAAGCTTTGGCACAAACGCAGTATCTTAAGCGACATGATGGATTTGCTCAATCATTTTCTTACCGTCCTCGAAATGCGTGTGGTTTTGACACAGAGGTCCATCCATGGTACGACCCAGAATATGAAGAAGGCGTCATGGAAAATGATAAATACAAAATTCTTTGGAATAGGCATGTATACAGCCTCAGACGTATCTAGGCCAACGAACCTGATCTTGTACTTTTTGATAAATCCAATGAAATAATTTATATTATATATTATATAATGTGCAGACCTCGCTTTCGAAATGTAACACTTGCATCCCAAGTACCAAGTTGTCCGACCATTGTTCTCGGTGCCTTAGGTTTGGTACTCTCCCAATGTGATGACTGACATTGGGAGAGTACCCGGGTTTGCTACCAGGAACACAGCCCTTCTGACAATCTGGGTAATGCAGAAGGCTGCAGTGTTTGGGGGTAATCTCATTCTCCGAAAAGTTCTAGGTGGGAAGTCCCATTCGCTGTCCGGGCTGCGTGTAGAGGGGGCAAGGGCCCTGAGCTGATAATGAGCCTAACCAGTCTGACTGTGCCAGGATCACCCAAACCTTTTTAGCTCATTTATTTTTTTAATCTGTATATAATAATAGTGATATATGAAACCTTTGAATAATTACCGTGTAAATCAATGTTGATCTGCCAAATCTTTTAACTGTGTTCTCTGATTTGGTAGCGGTCTCTTCACCAAGTTCGTCTTCTGAAACAACGTCATCGGGTCCTTCTGCAACTTCCGTTATCACTACCGGTTCATCAACAGCATCTACAAATGTGGACCTTTCACCAAGTTCATCTTTTGAAACAACCGCGATATCTGTTCCTCCTTCAGATTCCACTTTGCTTACTGAACAATTATCAACTGCAACAGTCCTGGGAGTAACGCCAAGGTCATCATTTGAAACATTAAACATAATCCCTTCTGCACCAACATCGCAACTACTAACGTCATCTACGTCTTTTCCGACATCAGCAACACGTAATCCAGGTAATAAACTTATGTATGATATTTTATATGTAATAATAATAATAATCATCATCATCATCATCATCATCATCACCCGGAACCTCCTAAGCACAGATCCCCAACACCCCTTACTCACCTCCTTTATATGGATGACCTTGAACTTATTGCCAATGGAAGATCTACACTAAAAAAAACAGATTCTGCTTTTCTAATGATATCGGCATGTCCTTTGGACTCGACAAATGCAACATTCTTCATTTGAAACGTGGCAAGGTAGAAGACGGAGGATCAGTCAGTTTACTTGGAGGAGGAGTTATTGACCGTCTTGTGGAAGGTCAGGTCTATACGTACTTAGGGATGCAGATTAGGGACAAACTCCAGAATGCCCATTTCTAGGGCAAACTTCGGGCAGAGTAGAAATGTAGACGAAAGAAAATATGGAATTCAGAGCTGAACGCTCGAAATAAAGTCAAAGCCACAAATACGTATGCTGTGCCCGTCCTTGCATATTCTTTTGGTGTTGTTGATTGGACGAAACAAGTTATTCAGGGTATTGACACCCTCACTCGAAGAGTGGAAAGTCTTCACATTCTCCGAAAAGTTCTGGGTGGGTTTGACTAGGCAGCGCTTCCTGGGAGAAGTCCCATTCGCTGTCTGGGCTGCGTGTAGAGGGGGAAAGGGCCCTGAGCTGATGATGAGCCTAACCAGCCTGGCTGTGCCAGGATCACCCAAACCCTCTTTGCTGCATTTTGTATTTTAACCTGTAAATAATCTATAATAATATTATAATATATTATATGGAGTAAGGTGCAAGGCAATGAAAAAAAGTGTTTAGATGCTAAACACAAAACTAAACACGTTCCTTGTCCCATACTTTTGACGCGTTAAGGTTCTAAACAGGTTTAGGGTTGTATGTAACAGCTAAATGCGTTGAGAGTCTAAAATTGGGAAAGACGTGTATACCTTCATTGAAAGTTATTGTAGATAGATAGATTATAAAAGGGGTGTTTTCTATAGTTTTTGTAGCGTGTAATGGGGATATCGAAGTATGGAGATGTGGGTGTCGGTAAGGTTCTATCGTAGTAATCAGACACACTTTCATTGTCAAATGCCCTTTCCAGTACGATAGAAATACATATTAATCATACAGCAGCAACACTTTTATGAACAACACTTTTAATACCTCGCCGGGGCGGTCGGGTAACCTAGTGGATAAAGCGTGGGTTCGATTCCCGACATGGGTACAATGTGTGAAGCCCATTTCTGGTGTCCCCAGCCGTGTTATCGCTGGAATATTGCTGAAAGAGGTGTAAAGCTACACGGCGGGGGTCTGTAAATGATCGTGTCTGGATCAGACAATCCAGTGATTGACGTCATGCACATCGATCCACGCAATTGGGATCGATGATATGCATCAACCAAGTCAGCGAGCCTGACCACCCGATCCCGTTAGTCGCCTCTTAAGACAAGCAGAGTCGCCTTTTACAGCAAGCATGGGTTGCTGAAACCTATTCTACCCCGGATCTTCACGGGTCTATCATTTGACGGGACTGAAGAGACACAAACGGACTTCTTTGTGAGTACAGTTAGCAGGTAGCTTTATCCAATGCTGCTGACTTCTTGTTCGGCAATACCCATACATATATCATACATGACACTTATTTTCACATTACAGAAACTACCAACCAACCACAGACAGTTTCTACTGTAAAACCAAATATTGGTAAGTTTACAGTGGTCTAGATTTCTCATGATTATGGAAAAGATTTCTGTCGCTTTTATTAATTATTATGATATGACCCGCGAGTGGCGAATTTCGTGTACTCGTGTTGTCCTCACAAATCTGAATTTGACAAGATGAAGTGCTTTCGTCAACATTTAAGTTTTCAGCGTTTAACAACTTTTACTTGTTCACACATCCTGTAATAATGTAAAGGCAGTAAACTACGTTTATAAGGAACACGTTTATAACGAACTTATTTTTTGGTCCCGTCCAACTGCTGTAGTATATATGCTAATTAAACGAACTACGTTAATAACGAACTAAAATTAGTGTTTCCCTTTAGTTCGTTATAACCGTAGTTTACTGTATGTCCTTTGTTGTCTCAAGGCACACACTTCCCCTTGTATTACTAAGCATGTTATCCTTAAATGTTTCAGAATAATGTGAAACTGGAGTCATTTCATAATTTATCATCTGTGTTCTATTTTGCAGAAAGAGCAATGTTCAAATTAACATTCGATGTAACGGTAAACCTAACATTCAATACGGACCTAGAAGACAAGACAACGACAATGTTTAAGCAATACGAACGTGAATTTAAAGCAAAGGTATAACTAACACACATTTAATTATTTTTTTCAAAATATTTCTGTTCTACATGTTGAAACATATTACCGACACAGTTTATGTCTTTCTCAATCGTAAATTGTTAAATAGCGTTATACAACATATGCATCAGCGTGGATACTTCGTGGGTTATGAATACATATTACGTTCGCTATGGGGTGTAGTTGTGACGCGTGTCTATTGTTAGTAGGCTAATGAAACGAGGCCCTTTCAAATTCACAGTAGTCAAACAAGCCCTAATCTACGAAAGCCTAATGGTGCCACTTTGGTAATATATAAATATCAATCGAAGTTTCTCGTTATTTTTCGTTTATTTTCTCGACATTCCGAGTTTTTCTCGTTACCCCAAATATATTTTCGTAATTTCAGGTTTTGCTCATTATTACGATTTTTTCTTGTAACTTCGATTATTTTCTCGTTATTTCATGTTTATGTAAAAAATAACTCGAAATTTTGTGTTTTTCTTGTTACTTCTACTATTTTCTCGTAATTTAAATTATTTTCAAGTTTCATTAAAAAATAACTGGAAATTTAAGTTATTTCTCGTTATTTCGATTATTAACGCGTTATTTCAATTATTTTCTCGTTGCTTTGTTGAGTTTTCCTCCTTACTTCTATTATTTTCTCGTAATTTCGATTATTGTCTCGTTATTTCAAATTTATTTAAAAAATAACTCGAAATTTTGTGTTTTTCTTGTTACTTCTACTATTTTCTCGTAATTTAAATTATTTTCAAGTTTCATTAAAAAATAACTGGAAATTTAAGTTATTTCTCGTTATTTCGATTATTAACGCGTTATTTCAATTATTTTCTCGTTTCTTTGGTAAGTTTTCCTCCTTACTTCTATTATTTTCTCGTAATTTCGATTATTTTCTCGTTATTTCAAATTTATTTAAAAAACTCGAAATTTACTTGTCCCCTTACGCATTCCTTACGTGTCTGTAATAGCTCTCAAATTTGCAACAATAACCAATAATTGTTTTGAAACTTTATGTAAGGAATGTTTGCAGGTGTTATACGTTTCGGAATATGGAAGTATAGTGTACACTTGAAAATACTCTGCTAACTACTCTGTAATGTTACGTTGCGACCCCCGTGTTCCTTGTTTGTGTGTTTGTTTATTTGTCGTTTAACGCCGCACTCAGCAATATTCCAGCTAAATGACGGCGGTCTGTAAATAATCGATTCTGGACCAGATAATCCAGTAACTGACATCATCACCTGTTGTGAGATACTCGTTGTTAGGCTGCTTTTAATATCGCCTAAGATACCCGTATAAAATACACACGAATAATCATTTCGAGTTTGTTTAATTTTTAGCCACCATAAAACATGGGTGTATACTTCTGCCGGGTAGTATATTTACTTGTCCAAATTTCAGTTATAATTAGAACCATAATTTTGTATATAATCTAAAATCACATGAAAGTACTCGTCAGTTTTGTTGTTTAAATATCCAAACGATCTACGTTTATAACATTGAAATCATGAACAGTGCATTAAAAATTGATGTGTTGGAAGAAATGACGGCCCGAGTGTTTCTCTACCTTTCGTTTCAGTTGACAGAAGTGTATCTTAACATTCCTGGCTTTGTGTATGTGGAAATAATCGGTTTCAAGTAAGTGCAATTCAAATAACGTACACAGTCTTGAATATATATATTATCTCCATCATTTCAATCAAATGTTGTTGACATTTTCCTCGAAACCCCGAGTTGTCAAACTTTTAAATGTCCACCCACCTTGTCTTCTACACAATTAGCTAAATCTGTTTCGGTCTGAAATCAAGTCCATGGTAATTTTTTCACCATTTATGCCGCACATTCGACAAGACGTCACGATACAGTGTAGCAGGGTTTAAATTTTATATATGCCATATTCCCGCCTTGAAGGGACCAACTGTTATGCAGGGAAAGTTGACTTTCCGAATGTCTGCCAAACTACAGGAATTATGAAATCGGTTCACCTCGATCGTATAGGTCATCTCGCCCAGCTGTGAGATGACTTGATATTAGAACTGGATTCAACAGTTCACGTGACCATGACACGATACAACACCACCTGACGGCAGTCGTGACAATTATATATTAAGCATTTCTTTTTGATAGATAGTTTACGTAACTTCGTTTACCCTACAAATGTCGTAACCCAAAATTGTCCGTCATGTTTGTACGAACTATAAGCGGAGTCTGTTTGTAGTGACTAAGGGATACCATGCACTATCACATCTTCCCGAGGCAAGAGAGTTAACTGACTATAAAAGTCCAGTTTCCACCCTTGCCGAATTAGGCTTGTATTATGGAGTTACATTTTGGCTGGACTAACGAGTCTATGCTTGTCGTTTAGATTACGGTCGATTGCGGGATTTGCAAAGCATGTGCACCGCCAACTCGTTGTCAGCAGATATTTTCCAAACCTTTTCATGTTTTTAATCATGGTGCTCCCGTGATTTGATGAACTTCGCGATGTAAGACCCGTTTTATCACAATATAGATTTTTATTATCGATCAGATCGTCTTGACTGGGCGCTTCCATTTTGTTTGATGGGATCGGATTGGTCCATAGGAGAGGCTTACAAGGGACATAACTCATAATATCCACTGGTGGCGCTACGATCGAGCCCAGGAATTCCAGCCTAGTTCGGCAAGGGTGGAAACTGGACTTTTATATCCAGTTGACTCTCTTGCCTCGGGAAGATGGCGCTATCACTACTTCTGCTTCATTGCTGGTCAAGGTATTACATAGGTGACGGAATAGAGCGAGTGGGCCCGAATGTAAGAATCATGCCCAAGTTGATGTACTTCCAGTGGGGATATCATTGAAGCAAATCAAAATGTCGAATAGTGTCCTTTTAAATGGGTTCGAACAAACCATTCAGTCTTTCATTTTATATCGCTGAAATCATACCGATCAAAGCTCATAATAACACGGTGAACGACCAACACCGATGAGAGACGCGATTTGCCAGGTAACACATTTTGATGCCGCGATCCCCATTTCATAAGCTTACGACATACATAGGGTGATGGACTTTCCCTGTAACCACGAATTGACAGAATCATTGCAATAACTAATTCATGACGTGGAATGAATACACACTGACATTGATTAATTACAGAAACGGCTCCATTAAGTGCAATCACACATGCCGCGTAAACGTGACAGCTGCATCTGCTGAAGTGAAGGCTGCCTTAAATGGCCAGGGAAATGTCACAACAGAGATGAAAAACAAGCGATTCTTTAACAGAAACATCAAACAGCCATTCAGTGTCAACATTACGGAAGGTTGGTTAACATTTCTCTCTTACATTTATACCACCAAACTACAATTGCTTTTGGCAGATAAATAATAGTGATAGTTGCACTGTTTTCTCTGTATTAAGACTGCATTTCATGTAAGGTAAATAAAAGCGACAAATCCCAATCAAAATTCAAAATATTTTTTGGGCAAAATCAGAGTCAATTGTGCGCTTATATCACGAGAATATGTTTATGAATCATTATCAAATAGTGATGATACCATGTGTTCGCGAAAATGCGAGCGTATCCTGCCCCATCGATGGCACCCGTCACAAACACATGCAAGGTCAAGTCAATTGTTAACCTAAAAAAACAGGGTAACTTCTACAATAAAACTTTGAAAGCTACTGAAGCCTTGAATGTTGTATCCTCGACACCAATAATTTCTGCGCATGAGTTGTTTGACACTCTCAGAAATCTTGGTAGAAATAACGTGCTCGATTCTACCTCGAAGTTGTAAAATGTAGACACCAAGAGCGTGAGCTGCAGGAATATTGCTCGGCATAAAGGGAAAGTTGACTATTGGAAAGTTGAAGTCATCCCTCTTGTCACACAGTCATGTGGAGAGTGTTTTGTCACTCTGAATCTTTATGCATAGATCTGAATATGAAACAGATGATTGAAGCGGTATAACTGGTTCACTTTATTTCTAGTTCACGTGGGTAAATCAGTGGAAGGGAACTGGCTTATTGATGCTTTGTCATAAGGGACAGTGGTGTACAAAGTTAAAAAAATTGAACTTTGTTCATTCTGAGATTGTAAAAAGTCAAGAAAATCCTTTAGGCTTTTGAGAATCCACATGGTCTTAATTACACTTCTCTCATGTATTCTCTGTGAATATAAAGAAAGTCCTTGTATTAAGGATTGTATTAACTCAGCAGGGATGTGAGCAGGTTTTCCCGAAAAAAAGAGGAAAAGTCTAGGGGGGTCTGTGGGCATGCCCCCCCCCCCCCCCCCCCCCCCCCCAGAAACTTTTAAAACATTTGATTGCATTTTAAGCAATTTCGTGCAGTTATGACAACATTCACACCAAGAAATGTATTAAGTCAATGGCCAAAGTCAATAATTCAAATAAACAAGATGGCAGATGCAGTAAAATTTCGAAGTTAAATCAGTACTTTTATAAAATTGGGCATAGCTTTCGCGCACCTGGCTACCCGCCAGGTCTGGGAGCAATACTGCCATAAACTTCAACCCCCATCCCCCAGACACAAGGACAACTGTCACAAGCGTGCAATGTCTGACCCTTTCCCCATGTTGAAGCATATTGAAAAAAACTTACCTTGTACTTACCTTTTGATGAAAAAAACAAAACTCCATTGCAAACATAAGACATTAATACAACATATATCCCCATGACATGGGGTTTTGGACGCTGAAGAAACATTCATAGTTTTCTCGCTTATCACATGAACAACTGTAAAACATCTCATTCACTTACAGGATTCAAAGACAACTTTATCTTAAAAACAAGCCATCAGCTGATTCTGAGTATTTACAATTTCTGTGTGACGCCACACCCCACGTTATAGTGCAAGTATTCGTGACAGAAAACGTATGATGTCCGAAAACCTATGCTGGTGAAAGCTCTGATCGAAAACAGGACAATCCGCGCCAATTGTCCGGTTTTCGATCATATTTTTCGGCGTGTTTTTTTTTAAATTTTTATTAAATTTTTACGCGGAAGATGTTTTTTTCCCGAGGACTACTGTTTTAAAAAACGCGATTTTCCGCGTTTCCGCGGAGATTTCACATCTTTGAGACTTGGTGATTTGGTGGTACATTTGCTGGACCCAGCAATACATCCCTCTGTGTACGGGTGCTGTGGAGCTTTGGTAAGACTGTTTAGAAATGTGAAAAAGTATTTTTAAGCCGCTTTTATTACTAGTTGTTCAGTTCTACAACGGCGTGTCAGTTTAATGCACAGTATATAATGGTTTTAGATCCTCAACACAAACCTTAACGCGTTCCTTATCCCATAGTGGTGACGAGTTTGGAATCTAAACATGTTTAATATTGTGTGTAACAGTAAAACGTGTTTAGAGTCTAAACGTGTTTAATAGCTAAACGTGTTTGTGGGCTAAAGGCGTTTAGACTTGTACCCCAGTATTATCCATGGAATATTATAAACACTACATACTGTTAAATAACCCAATACATTCAGAAAATTGACTGACAGTTAAGCAAGGCACCATCAATTGTTGCTTTCTTACTGGTTGTGTCTTGTGTATCTGACAGAACATTGTGTATATAATGATAATAAGGTTATTTATAAAAGGGTTCTTTACTATGTTTTTATTAGCGGTTAATGCGGTTACAGGGGTGAGTGTGTCTGTGGGGTGGGGTGGGGTGGGGTGGGATGGGGTTTGGGGGGCGGGGGGGTGTGTGGAAAATAAAAGCTTTTTTAAGCCGTGGAAATGGATTAATGTGGGTGTGTGTGGTGGAAACTAAAAAAGGTTAAGGTTCTACCGTAGTAACCAGATATGCTTTCATTTTCAGCTTCCTGTGTGAGAAAAAATCTGTTGGTTATACAGCAATAAGAAATTTATGAACACATATATTTTTAAACCTCGGCAAGATACGAACCTGCAACCTCTTGATTTGTATCAGATTTGCACATCTAATTTCAATACATATTATATATGTTATCCATATTTGACTTATTGTCTAATGATATACACTTTATTGAAACGTGTTTAAATTCTAAACATGTGTAAAAATGTGAAACATGTTTAAACGTTTTTAAATAAATGTGTTTAGATAAAGCTCACCAAATGTGTATTCCGTTTAGGATTTAAACACATTCCTTATCATGTTTAGATCTAAACATATCTTTGCTGTGTGATTCTAAAACACATTATTTTACAGTCAGTGTAAGGAAAGCTGTGACTCAAGATCGTTTTTCAAAGTATACTCGAATCGGCAAGGTTACATCTCTTCCCAAAATTAGATTGGGACAAAGATTAGATCATGTTAGGAATATTACCATTATACAAATAAAACCTTTCGAAAAGTAAAACATCCGGCGTACTAACTATGTTTATGCTACTGTATTAAGCCAACACTTAAAATGTTAAATGTTAAAAACGCCCGCCTTTAGGCCTATGAATACTCCCGACAGCTCGCGTAACAATTTCTAAAAGATTTGCACATTTATTTTAAATTCGATAATTGTGAGTCAAAATGATCCTTAACATAAACACAGTTTTGAGGCTCTTACGGAAGCACTCAATTCCAAAGTTTTCTGCAGTACATACATATACCCCACCCACCCAAATCGCATCCTTTCCTACACCCAAAACTAAAACTAAACAAACTTCTTACGACCTGCCTTCAGTGAATTAAAAAATACACATACATATACTTATACTTTTAGCACCATTCTAGCAATGCAGGTAAGGAATCGAACCTGATTCTTGTAACGAGCGATCACTTCAGACCTGGTCTACCCACCGCCCTAACAAACAGTGAGAGAGTGAGTGAGTGAGTATGGCTTTACGCCGCTTTTAGCAATATTCCGGCCTACCCGTGAAGATCAGAGCTAGAATAGGTCTTCAGCAACCCATGCTTGACGTAAAAGGTGACTAAGCTTCTCGTAAGAGGCGACTAACGGGATTGGGTGGTCAGGCTCGCTGGCTTGGTTGATGCATTTCATCGTTTCCCAATTGCGTGGATCGATGCTCATGACATCACTCACTGGATTGTCTGGTACAGACTCTATTATTTACAGACAACCGTCATATAGCTGGAATATTGTATAGTGCGGCGTTAAACAACATACAAACAAACAATATTCCGGCCACATCACGGCTGGGGACACAGGAAATGGACCGAAAATACAGAATCTAGTTATTAACAGAAGTAAAATGGATAATTGTGCTTCAAAAACATTGACATTTGTCTTCGCGTTGTTTCAGTGGAGGAGTCCCTCGTCATTTGCAAGGCGGAAGGAATATGCCCAAAGGGCTTTAAATGTTCCGGAAGTACAGTTAAAGACGTGCGATGTGACTCGCCATGCACTCGTGATTACTGTAATACAGGGTGGTGCTATGTGGACTTGGATGGGCAACCTCATTGCAGGTACGTCACAAGTTTCTTTTACTACTCATACCAAAGTTCAATAAAATGTTCAATAAAATGACATCACCAAACGCTGTTCTCTTTGACAGTACTGACAAAACGACAATAGGAAATCGGCCACGATTTTCATCCACACTGCTGCTTCCGTGGTGATTCGAGGTAGCATTATCTTGCAAGTGTCCCACGCTTGTCGTGAAGCCCAACAAATGAGCATCGGGTGCTCAGGTTCTGTGACTTGGCTGATTTCGCGTCATCGTACCTCGATGTCGTGGACCGTTGTTCAGAGGGGGCACGGGTGGCCCAGTCGTCTAAGGCGCCGCGATTCGCTGTGCAGAGTTGCGTCCCTTGGGCACGCCAGAAACCTATGATTGTGGGTTCGAATGCTGGTTCCCCCCAATTATGTTTCTAGGTTTGTCAGCACCATACCCGTGCTCGTGGGTTTCACCGAGGTGGTAAACGTCTGAGACCTGCATCACGTCGGGCTTTCCTCCCACATTAAGCTGACACGCCGTGATATAACTGGAATAGTGTTAAAAGCGGCGTTAAACCCAACTCACTCACTCTTCACATCAGTCACTATAGCTTGCCTGGTCTAGATTTGAAATAATTATTTACAGGCCGCCAAGAAAAGGTTTTTATTATTATTTGGCTGTGTTGTTACTAAAAGCGGCCTAAAACCGTAACACTCATTTGCTGACTTAGACATTCCTGTGCCACGTGTTTCCAGATGCAAAAAGATACCGGAAAAGGTTGTATACTCTGGGGACAGATGTGAAGAGGAGACAGACGTGCTGATGATGGACAAGGGCGCCATCGCCGGCATATCTGGTGGGGTAGGAGGAGGGGTGATTGTGTTACTTGCCATCGCCCTCGGGTGCATGTGTTACAAAAGGAAGGTCCAGACACAAGACAAGTACGGCTACAGCGGAAGTAAAAGGTAATGTAGCGCCTTGAAACTTCGGATCGTTTAATCTAATGCACCGACTGAGTGAGTGAGTTTGGTTTAACGCCGCTTTTAGCAATATTCCAGTAATATCACGGCGGGGGCCACCAGAAATGGGCTTCACACATTGTACCCATGTCGGGATTCGAACCCGGGTCTTCGGCGTGACGAGCGAACGCTTTAACCACTAGGCTACCCGACCGCCCTGCACCGACTGAACCGTACGTGGATCCGGAGTAAGTGTGGAAATCACAAATCCCTCGTCAGAGCTGAAATAGAGAGTCAAGGATTTGCCAAGAAGGTTATCGTATACCGTTGGCCAAGGCTATTTCATTGGGTTCGGGTCGTATTAGACGTCAGTAGTCTCTGTGAAATGTTGTTCCCCTTAGGTGTGACTCGATCCTGTGGTGGTGGGTGACGCTGTGCATGTTTCTTCGTCTGTCAGCACCATTTCGTTGGTTTCTTAGACCTGAATCACTTCTGGCTTCCCACCCACATTTACCTGACACGCCGGGGTGTGACTGAAATACCGTTAAAAGGGCGTGGAAACCAACTCATGTTTCCTTTCGGCTTTCAACATGAGTAGAACCTTAGTGTTTACAGTGGATGGTGGTGTTTCATTTCCTTCTGTAAAAAATTAAATGGATATCTTTTTCACAGCCACATACATGTATGACTATTTGCATCTTAAACAAAGACACCTTCCCCGAGTCTTCAGCAACCCATGCTTGACGTAAAAGGTGACTATGATTGTCTTAAGAGACGACTAACGGTATTGGGTGGTCAGGCTCGCTGACTTGGTTTGATGATGCATGTCATCGTATCCCAATTGCGTGGATCGATGCTCATGATATTAATCACTGGATTGTCTGGTCCAGACTCGATTATTTACAGACCGCAGTCATATAGCTGGAATATTGCTGAGTGCGTCGTTAAACAACAAACAGACAAACAGACTTCGTTGATGCATGTCATCGTATCCCAATTGCGTGGATCGATGCTCATGATGTCAATGATTATTTACAAGCCGCCGAGAGCTTTTCATTCATACTGAGTGTGTGTGTGCCCGCAGCTGAGGTCGATAATTAGACGTCCTCAATTTAAATGATGCGGCTAGAATCCCGCTGGCGACACATGTTTTCGACAAAATTTAAAATCATTCACTTGTCAAAATAATTTTAAAGATAGTTCCGCCTATTCCAAGTGTAAATTCATCTGAAATGTTGGTTCGAAATAATGTTTTATTGACAATCAACTGTCCATTCCTGAAACATAATGGAGTATATAAAGAATAGAATGACGTCATAGATGTGTTTTAATCTTATTGTGCATCCAGTGGATTCAGGGAGGCTGACATCTACCTGACTGCCCGGAGCGGGCGGGATGAAGAAGGGCGAACTGGGAATATTAACTATGCTGTCGACATCAAGGACAGATACAGCGGTCGATCTGACAGGGGGCCCGGGTACGGGGAGGTAAGCTGGTTACTGTAGGGGTACTACAACCTCACCACAACGTTGTAAACCCGTGACGATCGGGGTAGAATAGGTCTTCAGCAACCCATGCTTGCCGTAAAAGACGAATATGCTTGTCGTAAGAGGCGACTAACGGGATTGGGTGGTCAGCCTTGCTGACTTGTTTAATGCATGTCATCGTATCCCAATTGCCTGGGTCGATGCTCCTGATGTCAATCACTGGATTGTCTGGTCCAGATTCAATTATTAACCCAACTCACTCACTCACTCTTTTGAAATTCATTGTAGTGGACGCTCTCTACGTGTTTTAGCGTTTAGTGGAGATACAGAAGTAAGGCGGGGGCTAACTAAGACAGAGTTGAGGTTATATCGTAGTAATCAGATATACTTCCATTGTCAGCTTCCGTTCTTGTATGAGAGCAATAAATTATTAGTCATACACCAACAGCACATTTTAAACACAACACTTTTAGGAAGTCGGCGGGATACGAACCTAGAACCTCTTGATGTATAGTTCAGCACTCTACCACCTGTGCTACTGATATTGATGTCGTCACAAATGCCAGTTTGCCTAGTCACGATTAACTTAGTTTATTTATTTGTACATTTTTTATGTTACTATTGTACCAAGTTCGCTTTAAGTCCTGGTGGTATATGAGTTATCCCAGTGCACGTGAATCTAATTTGCACATCTAATTTATACACATCTTATCCCTATTTGACTTACTGCCTAATGATATACACTTTATTGCAACAAGTTTAAATTCTAAACATGTGTTAAAATTCGAAACATGTTCAAACGTGTTTAAATGTATGCGTTTAGATAAAGCACACCAAATGTGCATTCCGTGAAGGATTTAAACGCATTCCTAATGTTTAGATCTAAACAGATCTTGCCTGTCTTTAGATTCTAAACCACTTTATTTTACAGTGTAAGGAAAGCTGTGACTCAAGATTGTTTTTCAAAGTATACTCGAATCGGCAATGATATGCACTATAGTTTAACAATTTTAAATTCTAAATATGTTTAGATTATTAGGATAAGTCACAATGACATGCATTTTTTCGTAAACGTGTGTGTGTGTGTGTGTGTGTGTGTGTGTGTGTGTGTGTGTGTGTGTGTGTGTGTGTGTGTGTGTCTGTCTGTCTGTGTGTCTGTGTCTGCTTCTACTAGTCCGATTTTATAGTGCTAGCCCACTGAAATACCATGCCGCACATTAACATGAATACGTAATGATAGCGTAAGGCTCGTGGAAAAGCAGCGCTTGGAATGAGCGCTTGATGTCTACCTTTAATTGCACAATGTAACCAGTGGACATTTTAGTGTCGCCTTGTTGGTTTTTTAGCTCAAGATTCATTTCACTTAACAGCTATCATAAGTGCCAGCGTGATATATATATTTAATACCGTTTACCGCGGCGTGAAACAAACTTTATCCACAAAATCTTTCTTTATGACAGTGGTGGGGTGACCAATCAGGACGCGAGTCAAACACAAGAAGCAGAGCAGACGACTTCCAGCAGCCAAGATACGTGGACAACGTTAGTAGTGGCTACCAAGGTTACAACAGACGAGACGAGTGGGACCAGATGCATCCCGCCGATCTGTACAGTAGGTTTTGTATTCAGTTTAATGTTCGGTATTATTATTAGTTTTGTTTCTTTGTTTGTCAGCAATATTCCAGCTATATGGCGGCGATCTGTAAATATTATAATTTGTTACATAATCTACCTGAAGATGACCCTAATACCAAAAGAGTAATCCCAATGTGTGTGTGTGTGTGTGTGTGTGTGTGTGTGTGTGTGTGTGTGTGTGTGTGTGTGTGTGTGTGTGTGTTTTAAGGTGGGTGGGGGGTGGAGATTTCTTTTCATGATTTGTCAAATTATAACCCGAATAAGTATTTTTTTTTATGCGGTTTCATGTCCTGAATACAGTGAGTTGTGAAATTTGGTCGGTTCACCTTTCACAGGAAAAATGGCGTGTTTAGGGGCAGTGACTGAAAATAATGTTCCATCTCTTACATAGATCCAACCCCACGCCAACCTGGGTGCCTTAGAATAAACGCAGCAAAAATAAAAGCTTTAGGAGCGTAGTATCATACCTTAGAGACTCCTATAAAATGACACATGACCAAATTTTAATTCCACGTGGAATAGTTACAACATCAATGATGATGCGATATTAGATTATTACTCATTCACTATTTCCAATAATAGGCATACGCATATTTTGACAAAAAATAGACTTGCCCTACAATGTAAAGTCTAATGATAAACAAGGGGACGATTGAATTTGAACAGAAAAACAGAATGGACTCCTTGTACCCCATGAGTGATTGATGACTGAGTATGGTTTTACGCCGCTTTTAGCAATATTCCAGCAATATCACGGCGGGGAACCAGACATGGGCTTCACACATTGTACCCATGTCGGGAATCGAACCCGGGTCTTCGGCATGACGAGCGAACGCTTTAACCACTAGGCTACCCGACCGCCCCTGAGTGATTCATGAGGCTCGGCAAGTAAACAAGTGTAACCAGGCCGATTGTGTGGTATCCTGCTCCGACGGCGTTGCTCATGTTTTCAACAGCTATGTCTGACCATTTCCCACTTACAGACAGGCTTTATACAGCTGGTTATTGGTGAATGCAGCCTAAAATAAAATCAACTAGAACCCTGCATTCGCGACCAACTCGTGTTATTCCGGGACAAGCCGAATAGCGACTCGTGCCCCTCTCGTGGCCATTTTTTCCGACTGGGTTCCGTCTAAGCGCAAACGGGCATAACTAAAACAATTGTCAACTCGTTGCGTAATGATTCACGCAAATTTCCCATATGTCATATATATTCCAGATGCAATTTAAGACACTTCGGGACGTAAGGTATTATACAGTATGATTGAACACATTTAACTGTGTCTTAGGTATATTTTTATATGCAAGACATATGGAAAATCAAAAATTATATCTGAGGGATTCTTTGACGAAGAACTTGAAATCATACGCGCATTCTGATTGGTTTGTCGTATTTTCGCACATAACATTCATCGATAGGGGGGACGAGTCTTCTTGCAGGTTACGGAAAGGGGCGAGTGGTGACGAATGTAGAACCCTGTTGACGAGAATATAGTCCGTGTCGAACATTCAGATCAAGGCCTGTCCAGACGGTCATCTGGCCTTGGGACTTCCCACTACAACATACCCGAGGACATGGCGCCTGATTATGACCATGATGTCAGACGCCAGACGAGGACAGACGGCCACATGTGCAGCCACGCCATTCCTGGAGGTCAGGGCAACTACAGCCATCTGACCACTGGTCAGTCATCCAGATCACAGCCCAGCCTGCTGACGAAGGGCTACAGAAGAGGAGATGATGTGTACAGCCACATTGACATCAACGAGAAGGTGAGAGGCAATGGAATGATTCAGTTATCATTTATAACGGAGAGGACACATGGTACAATATATTATCATACCAGGTGAAACACTTTACCATTTTATGAAGTACAGTATTGCGTATACAAATGGGTTATTCTGTTTCACCTTACCTTATAATTACATGTCAAATACCTGAATATGGTCAATGGCCTTTTTATAACTTTCCATGTACCCCGGTAACTGGAAAATATTCCTCACAGTCATTGTAAAAGACATTTTGCCTATCGGTAAATCGTTTCAATTCATGTCCCTTACAAGAAAACGGCATCACGTAATGTATATTAATATTGACTTTACGTGTCGTCCGGATCTCACCAGGTAATATGGTGACAAACATGGTCGCATCTAAATCTCGCGTGTTTTCAAATAAGATGTAGGGGGAACTGAAAAGGTTTTGAGTCCAACGAAGTAATCAAGTGATGGAAGACTAACATCAACCAAGTCAGCGAGACTGACCACCCGTTCACGGTAGTCGCCTCTTACGGTTGCCGATGACCCATATTCTAACCTGGATCTTCAAGGGTAAGATATATTATGAGTCACACAGCAACACCACAGTTAGGAACACAACACCTCAGCAGGATACGAACCTGTAACCTCTTGGTTTGTGTTTCTTCACGCTACCCCCGGCACTGGAGAGATTTTGTCGTTACAGATGCCAATTGTCCTCGTCACAATTAACCTGGCTTGGTAAATTTTTACATTTTTACATTGGTAGATACTAACACCGTTATCAATGTAGATATCAACACCGTTATCAATGTAGATATCAACACCGTTATCAATGTAGATACCAACACCGTTATCAATGTAGATACTAACACCGTTATCAATGTAGATACCAACACCGTTATCAATGTAGATACCAACACCGTTATCAATGTAGATATCAACACCGTTATCAATGTAGATATCAACACCGTTATCGATGTAGATATCAACACCGTTATCAATGTAGATACCAACACCGTTATCAATGTAGATACCAACACCGTTATCAATGTAGATACCAACACCGTTATCAAAGTAGATAGCAACGCCGTTATCAAGCATATCATTAGTATTTACATCGAAACGTCGCATTCATTGTAATTAAGAAGTTGTATATCCATACAACTGTATCTCATAGAAGTATAATAATAATCTTAATGCAGGCTAGAGGTTATCCTTAAAGAGAAAAACGTTTTGTATAATGTGTGAAATAAATACTAAATGTAGTCAACACATTTGCTTTCCAAATAACACCAATTTATATTTACTTTCATGATGTTTTGCAGAGTTGTGGAACTGCCTGCATTCAAGCATTGGTCAGGAAGCAGGTCTACATCTTATGATACATAGACAACAGAAACAAATAATCTGATATGAATTCTTGGCGCATGATCATCATCCGATTATCACTTAGAAGGGTATAAATGTAGCTCTGAGAAAAATATTACACAACTGTCGTGTCATTAACTCATGTATGGTTCGTAATATACACGTTCTGTGCCTAAATGAAGTATTATGACAAAGTATTATTTGGTACATAGTGCGAGGTACACTGATACGTGCATCAATAACAACAACTAACACGGCGTTAAGCAACAAAACAAATTATGTCCCACTTGGGTCTCGTTGCCATGTTTTTGTGTGTGTTACAACCCCCTCTCCTCGGACGGACATGGGCTAAGGGGTAGCCACGTGGTTAAAGCCTTCGTTCCTCACAGCGGAATCCGGGTTCGATTGCCCAGATGGGTACAATGTGTGAAGACAATTTCCAGTGTACCCGGCTATGATATTCCTGGAATATTTCTAAAAGCGGCGGAAGGCATACTATCTCACTCCTCTGCGAACACGAAAGCTTGACATCGCACGCACGCACGCACGCACAGTGACTGAACATTATGAACATAATAGGATAAAAAGAAAAAGAAATTCAATATATATATTTTTACTCTTCATCCCAGCATAACTAGTGTATTGTGATGTTTCAAAGCCGTTAAGAACTTCTTGATAATTTTCCGTCAATCTGTCAAATTAATGGACAGATTGTTCAGTCAATTTGTAATATGACTGAAATATATATTCATTTTGTAAGTGAATCACCTTTTACACATTGACTGTAACATTACAAGTTGTAGCAGTAGCACGAGGGGTACACGTGATTGTATGCGTCCCGCGCTAGTACAACTAGCCGGAGACGAGCCGGAGGCTGGTGGTATAAAATCTAACTAGGGACGCATAACACCACTTATCATACCTCCATTTCAGAATGGTGAGATGTGATTGGTTCACGTGATCTTGATAAACTACGATGTATCCCGCCTGGGAGAGAAATAAAGTTCTGAGCGGAAGAATAAATCCCTTATACCCCGCCACGGAGAACACAGGCTGCACGTGGATTTCTGTGGGAGAATAAATCCCTTATACCCCACTTCGAAGCAAAAAGCTAAACGCCTTTTCCGAGACAATGAAAGTCACGTGACACAGCACAAGTTAACCACCTGCTCAATTGAACAGCTGTTTTCTATCAATTTTCAAGTTGGTTTAATTCTTTTACAATGTGAGATTAAAACCTGTCGGTAAGATAATTTGCAACGTGCAGCCTGATTTCTTCGTGGTGGTGTATAGCGGAATTATTCTCACGCTCAGAAAGGCGGGTTACGTAGTATTTGAACAAGATCATGTGAACTAATCAGTTCTCAACATTATTACATGATGGGAAGATATATTCGGCGTGGGGTTGGATCTATGTAAGAGACGGAACATTATTTTCAGTCACTGCCCCTAAACACGCCATTTTTCCTGCGAAAGGTGAACCGACCAAATTTCACAACTCACTGTATTCAGGACATTCAACACCACCAAACGTACACATCATATTGGGGTTGGGGGGGTGTCGAACCGCATGAAAAAATACTTTTGCGGGTTATTACTTGACAATTCATGTAAAGAAATCTCCACCCCTAACACACAGACACACAGAGACACACAGACACACACACACACACACAGACACACACACACACACACACACACACACACATATATATATATATATAAACCCGATAAAGGTATTATACGTGCGCTTCATGTATTGTTAAGCACAGGCATAAACTTGCTGTGTCAATATATATACTGAACCGCAAAAGAAACGTCACCATGGATAGATATTTGAGAAACCTTATTTGCCCAAACACTGTAAAAATACTTTGAGACATATTAGAAAGATGTAACTTGGCAAAGCTGATCATCAAGGTTGAAATTCAAGTGTCAAATGCTCTTAAAGTGAAACACAACACTTGTCTCTGAGAAAATGACATCACAAGTGAGTATCTCGTGTGTCCGCCATGTGCATTGATGACTGCCGTGCAACGTCGATACATTGAATGGATGAGGCGGTTGATGAAGGCCATAGACACTTGAGCCCACACTCCGAGGAACGCCTAACGCAGTTCAGCTGCAGTTGTCGGCCTTGGTCGGACGTCATTCAGCCGGGCTCAGTGGGATTTAAATCGGGACTGAGGGCAGACACCTGGATGGTTCTGATGCCATTTTGCTGGAGGAAGTTTCTTGTTTCTCTCGCAGTGTGGGCAGGGTCGTTATAAACTCGTGGTTGCGGCGACCTGCCAAATGAGGTATGGCGTGTGGTCTCAAGACTTGATCAATGTACCGAGCTGCTGTAACACCATTGCCTCTCCCTGGACCGATGTTATGGAAGACCACAGGGCCGACCCTCTGTGCAAGACCAATTCCACCCAACACCATGATGCTCGGACCACCCCACGAGTCTCTCTCAGCAACACAAGCATCCGAATAACGTTCCCCACGGCGTCTCCAGACTCTCTCTCTCTCTCTCTGGTGCTGTGTTGCCAACTGACAGTGGAGGTGTCTGCTCGCCATTCGTCTACGCACGGTGTCCGCACTAATGTGTCGCTGGTGTGTCCCCATGGTCTGTCGAGCAGTTTCCGCAGCAGTAACAAAGCGATCTTGAAGATGCTGTCGCACAATCTGACGATCCTGACGTCGGGTGGTGACCCTTGGCCTTCCACTACGTGGTCGGTCATCTGTAGTGTTGGTGGTCTGGTACCGTTGCTGGAGCCTGTATATGGTCCTTACGTGGACTTGAAGTGCATTGGCTACTTGCCGGGCGGTTTGTCCAGCTTGCAATCGTCCAAGGGCTTGGTGTTGCTGATTTCTTGTCAATCTTGTCATGTGGTAGCAATTCAATAACGAATGAATGTCATCCGATTTTTATAGGGCAAGAAATGGGGGAACGCATGTGCATTTCAAATTGCATGGAACTCACGAGCATCGGGTTACCATGGCCGTTGCCGTGATGCGTTTCGGCGATCGGTTTTATTGTCATCTGCTTTGGTTTTTTTATCATCAAATTTCATTTTGCCTGACAAGGTAATGTAAAACTTTAGAAAGTGTGACAAAAAATACCCAAATATATAAATGACAACTTTTCATGCAATGTTACAAGGGGTGACGTTTCTTTTGCGGTTCAGTATATATACAGTTGATGTTTGTTTCAGCATAGCATTCATTCAGTAGCAAGTATCTATTAAACCTAAAGTTGATAAGACTGCTTAACATTTCATCAGCACACAGGTATTATTCGGACTCACACGCTAATATTCCTAATTATGATCTTCTGTTTCACATATAATGCATAATAAATACTAGATGTGATCTTTGAAGACTGCTTCACATATCCTGCATATAAATATAGATGTGATCTTTGAAGACTGCTTTACATATCATGCATAATAAATACTATATGTGATCTTTGAAGACTGCTTCACATATCATGCATATAAATATAGATGTGATCTTTGAAGACTGCTTTACATATCATGCATATAAATATAGATGTGATCTTTGAAGACTGCTTTACATATCATGCATAATAAATACTAGATGTGATCTTTGAGGACTGCTTCACATCTCATGCATATAGATTCTAGATGTAATCTTTGAAGACTGCTTCACATATCATGCATATAAATATAGATGTGATCTTTGAGGACTTCTTTGCGTATCATGCTCAGTAAATACTTGATATGAATGAGATCTTTGTATTCACATTTCATGCATAGTACAATCTAGAGCCCATCTGTGATGGACTGCTCGACATAATCGTATCATGCTTACTTCATATAAGATTGCATTCGTTTTAGCCTATCTTTCCTGAAATTTCTGTTTAATCATGAAAACAATATATACATCGGTAAACATTATAATAATATGAATACTGTAATTCGCCGTGTATCCATGTCAACAAGTAGTTTGGTTTGTTAACAAGAAGTACTTTTGTGTTTAGTATGAATCATGTACTCTGAACATATACCTTTGGGAATAAATATTGAAACTACCACACTCGCCATAGTTGTTATTGCCCTAAAATCTGCTGGTTCGGAGATACTACATGACTGAGAAACAGTGAGGCTCTGTTACAACCCTTAATGTAAAAAATACTTTCAATGTTAACATTTTTACATTGAAGTTACGTGTTAACTGTTTATTTTACATTACGAGCATCGCCCGCAACCCTTAGTGCATTTATGCATATCGTACATGTCACCCCTTAGTGTAAAAACATCTTACAAATGAGGTTTTATTGGACAGATCGGGTACTTTTTGCCATTTTCTCATTGTTTTCGTTTTGCTCGGAATCTTATAATTATTCGTAATAGAACTTATTCTTCCTTCCTTTGTGCATTTTGTCAGAAACTACATCCAGCAGAGTTACGCTGTATGTACACTGCAACTTTCATAGTGCAACGACCTCTCAACAACGAACACCTGGTAATTATTTAGAGGTTTTTCTTACTGGTCATTAGTGACATGTCATTTATTCGATTTTTGTCAATCTTGGTGGATAGGTGTATCTATGAACACTACACAATATGACAATTTTTACGTTACCACCTTGCCTCCATGGCAACGAAAAAGCGGCCTCTGCAGAGCTGACTGATCGATATTTAGAGATTTTCGGTCAAATGTGGTATTTAGGTACAATGTATTTTAGGACACATCCGTTCTGTCGCTATGGTATTAGGATAATGGCGGACATGAGATTACCATGTAGAGTGTCGTAAAATACCTCTTTGTTCGACAGGATGTTAGAAATCGGTCAAAGGATCGGGAGTCATCACCTCTTATATGAAACCTGTACGTAGCAACCAGGTGGTCGTTGTGGAGAGGGAACCGAAAAATGACTTAAGTAATTTGCACACCTGGACAAAGTAACGAGCTATTGAGCCTGCGAAGTTTCATGATGGTTAGATGATTATTTTTTCATAGTGATAACCCTAAATGTAAAAAAAATACTATCTGTCACTTCAACCCTTAATGTAAACGTATCTTACATTAAGAGTAATTTGTACATTGAGGTTCGTAACAAGTATTAACACCCACCCCTAAATGTACAATTTATTACATGAAGAGTAATATTTAAGGGTTGTAACAAAGCTCATTAATCCGTAAAATATAGGTTCCCGGAAACCTATGTTGTAAGAGGCGACTAACGGAATCGGGTGGTCAGGCGCGCTGATTTGGTTGATGCAAGTCATCGTATCCCAATTGCGTGGATCGATACTCATGATTTCAGTCCTTGGTTTGTCTGTTCCAGATTCGATTAATAATTATGTTTAGTTTTCCTTGACAACCCGAATATTTTGCAAGCAGGCTTATCATTGACAGTTTTGAATTTCAAACCCTTCACCACGTGCTGATCTTCATTTTTTTAAATTTTTTAACCAATCAGAAACGTTTGCTGCGTTCAAGCCCGTGTTGTGCTGTAATTTCCGCCACTTGTTTCTTGACAGTATGATGGAAATGAAAACATATATTTTCACTCCACAAAAGCAGAAAATGTGCGGGTAACAATCACACAAGGATACAGAGGGTTAAACAAAAATCATTCACATTGTCATTGTCAAAACACGTGTAACTACCGACTTGTAAGTCACTGCAAAGTCATAAATCACCGGTTTAATATTGAGTATGACTGTCCACCTCCTCCATCAGTGCTGGCAACTACGCGTCGCCGCACCGATGACGTTAGCGGGGATCCGTTACAATGTCTTCACGAGAATTAGAAAAAGATTGTCTTTTTTTAGAGTCAGTTAACCGAACTTTACGAGCTGCGCGTTCGAATACACCCCTTAACTTTCAGTGTCGTGGTAAACAAGGCCATTTAGCTTGTAAAATCCCATCTTCCCGAGGCAAGGGCATTAACTGACTATAAATTTCCAGTTTTCATCCTTACCGAACCTGGATAGAATTCCGGAGTTACATTTTAGCTGGACTAACGAGTCTATGCATAGTCCAATCAACATCGCGTACAGAACTGGGCCCACTTGCACAAAGCGATCTTAGTGCGAAGATGATCGTAACTCCCATACTTTAACATAGGCTTACAATAGTTGTAGTGCTAAGATTGCTTTGTGAAAGTGGGCCCTGGACATCGTTAACGACATGAATTTTAAGATTTCGGTCGACTGAAGGATTTGCAAAGCATGTCTACCGCCAACTGGGCGTCGACAGATATTTTGCAAATCTTTTCATGATTTTAATGAAGGTATTCAAGTGATCTGATGCATATAAAGATTTTGTCTGATGATCACATGGCCTTGACTGGGTGCCGCCATTTCGTTTGAGGCAATTGCAAAGGATATGAGAGGTGGGATCTGATTGGTCTAATAGGAGGAACATAGAAGGAGCATAACTCGTAATAACCACTAGTGGCCCTACGATCGAGCCTGGAAATTCCAGCCTAATTTAGGTTGTGATATACCGTGTACGTCTTTCCTGTAATGTCATGTACAGGGGCATGGGTTCTTTGGTCATGTAATTTTGACAAGACCTAATTTAGTAATACACTAAGATTTAAAAAGAGCCAATCTCAAGTCAAGCTGAAGTGAAATCAATATATTGTTGTTTTTTTAAATTTACTGAATTACTGTTAAACCTAACTCATTTTCTGCAGACAATTGTTGGATCTTAAATACGAACTACTACACGTGGTTTCAGAAATGAATGTCGGACAATGCGCTATGACATTATAATGACATGTGCAGTATTACACGTACTTATCTGGACCACTTCACATTTAAAACAAATGTCGAAAATAAAGGAAACATATCCCAGAACAAAAAATCCCATGTAAAAAAAGTGCACTTATATACTAACATTGTTTGTGTTTTTGTTTTATGATTTTACTCCGCAATATTCCAACTTTATGACGGCGGTCTCTAGATATTCGAGTGTGGACCAGACTATCCAGTGATTGAGCATCGATCTGCGCGATTGGGATACGATGACAAGCATCTACCATGTCAGCGGGCTTGACCACCAGATCCTGTTGGTCGCCTGTTACGACAAGCATACGTTGCTGAAGTCCAATGCTAGCCGAATTTCATATCAACATTTCCTGTGGAACATGTTTACGTATTTTATAAAATCAAATCTGTGTACAAAGAAATATCTTTCCTTCTTTTATTTTAGAAATATGTTCGTGAAGTATTTCTTTGATACGACATGAAACCTAATTTCTACTGACAGAATCGGTTATCCATAGGTAGAAAACAATGTATGAAGCCTATTTCTTGTGTCACCCTCCGTGATATGCGGCGTAAAACCAATACTCAGTCATTCAGTCATAGGAAGAAAACGCTTCAGTAACACACGAGCACGTTTCCCGGATCTCTATACTGCTACGATGGACTGGTTCGACAACGACAAGCAGCTTGTGGTGATATGATGTGTACCGCACTCTTGATAATTTACTTATGATTCATAATTCTGTTGTCATCTATATATACTGTTCTAAGAATAGCACTCTTCTTGTTTTTAAAAGATAACGATGTCGTCATTACAACCAAGCCCCATGACACCAAGGATTTATGGCTGAGTACGTTAAGTTTTACTGGCTCAAGATGAAACCACTGCAATTACATAATTTATTGGCCCAGGTCTGACAGGAAGTCACTACAAGTCATTTACAAGAAGGGTGAACGGGTTTACTGCGTCGAGTATTGGAGGTGGAAAAACCTGTACCAGTAATATTTTAAAAAAATAATGTCATTAAATATCGATTTAGATACGTGGTTAGAACTCGAAATATGCCGATCCGATAGATCGGATAAAGGGGGATTAACGCGGTACAACTAGTTATATACATATACCTGGAGTAGAATAGGTCTTCAGCAACCCATGTTTGTCGTAAGAGGCGACTATGCTTGTCGTAAGAGTGGTCAGGCTCGCTGACTTGGTTGATGCATGTCATCGTATCCCAACCACGTGGATCGATGCTCATGATGTCAATCACTGGAGTGTTTGGTCAAGACACGAATATTTACAGGCCGCCGTCACACAGCTGGAATATTGCTAATTGCAGCGTTAAACAACAAACAAACAAACAAACAAACAATATAGTAGACAAACTGCCAAATTACAATTGCATACAACTTCAAGTCGTACAACTACTTGCACAGCGTGAATGGTCCTTGAAGCTGTGACCCATTAGGGTCTCGTATCCAAGCGTCTATCTCAATCAGGAAGTTACCTGAGGAACTGAGGAATTTATAATCCAATCAAACCCTTCGACCCCGTCGATCCCGCAAAAAAATTGCGGTGGTTCTGTCTCTTTTGCATCCGCTTACATCGATATTTCAAGGGATTTACAGCTCTTGAAAGTCAATAATTAAGTGTTTTACAGCACACAAAGCATATTTTAACTCTCAGCATCTCGCAAATGTATTTCACTATCCGAAGAAGTGTCATCTCTCATACATGTACACGATTATTCACCAGATTAATAGTCGTTTATACGTTTATTATGTGAGGAACGAAAAATAGAAAACAGAACACAAGTAATGTGTCTAAATAAAAGCAACAAAATCATTTCAATATGCTAAAAGAATCCATTGTACGATTCCGACTATTTCGTGAGCATTTGTTAAACTTTGGGAATCAATATCAAATAGTCATTGTAATATACAAGCCTTTTGTATGTTTCGGTCAGTAGACAGTGAGATTAATCAGATTGTACATGTTGTATGCAATAGGGCTGGGACGGGTAACTCGGGTGGGTACTGAGTAGGACCCGAGTACCCACAGGACTACCCGGACCCGTGGTTAGTCACGTTATATATAGTTTAATAACAAAAACTATCTAGAACTCTATGGTAACACTACACGTCACTAATTTTCGCATTTCTTTCTGACTTTGCACCCATTCCTTCTGATTTTTCACGTGGTTGAAAAAGATCAAACTTAATTCAACTTCAGTGTATGAATGACCAGATTGTGTAATACATGTATATTAAAATACGTTTTGCCAGGGCTATGCTGAAAATGTTCCCAATCGGATATTTTGATACATCTCAAGAGACCTACAGTGGGTACCCGGGTAGGGTAGGGTAAAAGGGGGATGGGTACCCGGGTAGTAAATTTGGACTTGTCCCAGCCCAAGTATGCAATACAGCAAACAACTGTAAACATTGCTATTGCTACATACATTAATGTATATCACCACTGATCTTACTGACTGTTTAATGTACAAAAACAAAATGTGAATACGTTCTAAATCACCTGTTTCGATTGGGCAACGTGATAGTTCGTGTGACGTCACCTACATTCGTGACATTCGTCACGAATGTATTCGTGAGTCTGTATGGCTACAAAATTGCATCTAGTCTATCTAAATGCATTTTATATTACTACATTGCCTTGACACGACGTAAAATAACTTCTGTCACTGGTGAAAGGCAATTTCCCTACGTTCCTCGAGCGAGAGAATACTTCCGGTATGACGTCACTTTGTTGCCAGTTGGATCAGTTGTAACAAATCTCAGTCTGGAGAGAGATTGCAGGTTCGATCCGAGAGATGTGAGTTGTGATTCACATATTGTATATTTCTTGTATATTTTATTAACTGAATGTAATACTGAAAAGAATAATCATATTCTTTATAATGTAATAAATGTTTATTGTGTATTTCTTAATTGTGAAATTGTTATTGATAATTTAAATAATTAAAACTGTGTGGTTGGTGGAATTGGGAGTGATCAACGATTCGCTACCCCCATTACAGGTAAAACTCTGTCAAGATCAGGTCGTAAACATCAGTGCAATATAGCCGTTGACGGAGTTTACGAACATATATTGCATGATATATTGCACAATCCAGGGGGGAACCTCGAGTGGGTGGTTTATGTCGTTTTGTTATATCACGTGATCAATGACCTTATTTGTGAGACCGAGATACGCATTCCGGGCTCCGTGACTTTTGTGCAGTATCTAATGGGTCTTCCTGATCACTGATTCAAATCCGTCAAGGTACCGTGTTTGTTTGAGGTAAGAAGAACATGATGGTATTTTCTTAATGTTATATGTTTGATGGTGTGATATGTTTCATGATGTTATATGTTTGATGAAGTTATATGTTTGATGATGTTATATGTTTGATGATGTTATATGTTTGATGGTACATATGTTTGATGGCATTATATGGTTGATGGTAAATATGGGTGATGGTATTATATGTTTGCTTTTATCATATGTTTGTTTTTATTATATGTTTGCTATTATTATATGTTTGATGAAGTTATATGTTTAATGGTACATATGGGTGATGGTATTATATGGTTGATGGTACGTATGGTTGATGGCATTATATGGTTGATGGTACATATGGGTGATGGTATTATATGGTTGATGGTACGTATGGGTGATGGCATTATATGGTTGATGGTACGTATGGGTGATGGTATTATATGGTTGATGGTACGTATGGGTGATGGTATTATATGGTTGATGGTACATATGGGTTATGGTATTATATGGTTGATGGTACATATGGGTGATGGTATTATATGGTTGATGGTACGTATGGGTGATGGCATTATATGGTTGATGGTAAATATGGGTGATGGCATTATATGGTTGATGGTACAATGTACGTATGGGTGATGGTATTATATGGTTGATGGTACATATGGGTGATGGCATTATATGATTGTTGGTACATATGGGTGATGGCATTATATGGTTGATGGTACATATGGGTGATGGCATTATATGGTTGATGGTACATATGGATGATGGCATCATATGGTTGATGGTACATATGGGTGATGGCATTATATGGTTGATGGTACATATGGGTGATGGCATTATATGGTTGATGGTACATATGGGTGATGGCATTATATGGTTGATGGTACATATGGGTGATGGCATTATATGGTTGATGGTACATATGGGTGATGGCATTATATGGTTGATTGTACGTATGGGTGATGGTATTATATGGTTGATGGTACGTATGGGTGATGGTATTATATGGTTGATGGTACATATGGGTGATGGTATTATATGGTTGATGGTACATATGGGTGATGGCATTATATGGTTGATGGTACATATGGATGATGGCATCATATGGTTGATGGTACATATGGGTGATGGCATTATATGGTTGATGGTACATATGGGTGATGGCATTATATGGTTGATGGTACGTATGGGTGATGGTATTTTATGGTTGATGGTACATATGGATGATGGCATTATATGGTTGATAGTACATATGGGTGATGGTATTATATGTTGGATTTTCTTATATGTTTGATGATGTTATATGTTTGATGGTATTCGTGTTATGTCGCTTCAGCGCGGGTTGGCATTAGAACTACAAAGACGACCTACCTATGTACTTCCGGGTTGTCAATTTCATTTGTTTAACAAGGTTTTAAAACTCTACTAAAGACATTAATAGACCAAGGACCATTTTATCCTGTGGTCATGTGGCAATTCGCTGTGCAGGGTTGCGTCCCTTGGTCGTGCCAGTATCCGCTGATGGTGGGTTCGAAATGAAGATTAGCCATCGTTATGATCCAACACCATACCCGTGACCGTGTGGTTCATTGATGTGCGCCTTTTTCCTCCCACAATGATTTGTCAGATTTCTGTTTTGTTTGATTGTTGTTTAACGCCGCACTCAGCAATATTACAGCTATAGGACGCAGTCTGTAAATAATCGAGTTTGGACCAGACAATCCAGTGACTTGCATCATGAGCATCGATCCACGCAATTGGGACAAGATGACATGCATCAACCAAGTCAGCGAGTCTGACCACCCGACAAGCATAATCGCCTTTTACGACAAGCATGTGTTGCTGAAGACCTGGACAGTGATTATGTTGAACGAGTCGTTAAATCCACCTCTCACTCCCTAGTGGTGATTGTTACGGTTGGTTGGTTGGTTGGTTGGTTGGTTGGTTGTTTAACGCCGCACTCAGAAATATTCCAGCTATATGACGGCGGTCTGTAAATAATCGAGTCTGGACCAGACAATCCAGTGATTAATATCATGAGCATCGATCCACGCAATTGGGATTAATGGCATGCATCAACCAAGTCAGCGAGCCTGACCACCCGATCCCGTTAGTCGCCTTTTACGACAAGTATAGTCACCTTTTACGTCAAGCATGGGTTGCTGAAGACCTCTTCTACCCCGGAATCTTCACGATTGTTACGGATTGACAATTGTCTCTGAAGACCTGACCATTCTTTTTCCAATTTGTGGAGAAACATATGACATAATTTTTAATATCGATGGTATTAATGACGAAATGACGGACATTTCCACAAACTATCCAGTCTTTTTTCTACAACATGTTTTGACAATGAACATAGTGGCTGGGCGAGTGCTGACAAACCCGGGCGAGCCTGGATTCGAACCCACGATCAAAAGTTTCTGACACGCCTAAGGGACATGGCGACTCCCGAGAGTTGACTTCAATCTCTTCATCAATATTCATGCTTCCAAAAGAAAGTTCCCACATTTTCACCGTATCCCTATACTCGATGTTGCTTTTAGAAAACAATAATTTTGTACATGTTGAAAACAAACTCGTACTCAGTTACTGACCACATATGACAATTTTAGTAGTCTCAGGATCCCTTATTGTATCCAGTCCGTCCTGAAGTCTAAATGTCAATATGGCCGGCAATAATAGGTCATTTTGTCAAAATACGCCATGGAGACACCGTGTTTATGGTAAATGGGATGTATTTTTGGGACAAATGTGCATCATTTTCAGTTTGCTTTGTTTCCAGAATGATTGGTTTCAACGATCTGTGTTTCGGGCTCCTGGTGTGTTGTGCTTCAATAGGTATGATGATATTTCAATACCCGGACACTGATGTGTGTACAAGAAAATTGTATCAAATGATGTCGATATGGTACAATCCTAAGATGGATTAGGCGAACGAAGTGAATTGTTTGTTTGGAAATACGTCAGTTCAGACAATATGACTATTGCTAAGGTTTTCATTTGAGGACAGACGACCGCCTCCTTGGCCTAGTGGTAGCGGAAGGTCGGGAGTTCGATCCCCGGCCGCGTCATACCCAAATACGTTAAAAGGTGGTACTTGTTGTTACCCTGCCTTGCCCTCGGCATTAAGGGGCTAAAACAAGGACTGGTCGGTTCGGAGTCAGTATACCGTGTCTGAGTGGGTTATTCATGTTAAACACGCGCATGCACGTCGCTCTAGAAGTGCAATAATCTTGAACGCGACGTTGAACCCAATTTCGCTTCACCTAATTTGACGGCTGTTTCATGTACTTATACATATCTATTATTATACAGTTTCATGTACAAATATGTACATATGATGTCACTTACAGACTCATCCAATTCGACGACGACGGTAATCGATTCGTCAACGAGCTTGACAGGTAATTCGGAAACCGATTCCTTATCGGACTGGACAGCGACGCCGGTTACCGATTCCTCAAATATTCCGGTGGAGACTTCGGTTACCGATTCTTTATCTGATTGGACAACGACGCCGGTTATCGATTCCTCAAATATTCCGGTGGATACTTCGGTTACCGATTCTTTATCTGATTGGACAACGACGCCGGTTATCGATTCCTCAAATATTCCGGTGGAGACTTCAGTAACCGATTCTATATCTGACTCTACAACGACGCCGGTTATCGACTCTTCAACTATTCCGGTGGAGACTTCGGTAACCGATTCTTTATCTGACTGGACAACGACGCCGGTTATCGATTCCTCAACTAGGCCGACAGCAACATTGGTAACCGATTCCCCGTCGTCAGTAATCGATTCATCCTACAGTCCGACGCCATCATCGGTAACCGATTCCTCAACTACTATAACGGAAACAGCGACAACTCAGCGTAAGCTAAGATATATGAATAAATTAGACTTACTTATCTGATAAATCCAAAAATATATATCAATAGTACGTTTTTAAGTTAAAACTTTATAAAACAAGCACGTAAAATATCACAAGACCACCAAATGATCTTGCTTGTGTTGCAGTCAGTTCGACTGGTAATACACATGCAAGATTATGTCCCCACAACTGAGTCGTACTGCGTATCGGGTGTATTGTTGCACACTGTGTTTATGTGACCGCCTCCGTGGTCTAGTTGTAGAGCGTCCGCCCGCAGAGCGGAAGGTCCGGGGTTCGATCCCCGGCCGCGTCATACCAAAAGACGTTAAAAGATGGTACTTGTTGTTACCCTGTCTGGCGCTCGGCATTAAGGGGCCAAAACAAGGACTGGTCACCTCGGAGTCAGTATACTGTGTCTGAGTGGGGTATTCATGTTAAACTGCGGCATGGTATCTCAGTGAGCTAGCACTTTAAGTCGGCATCAGTCCGGACTAGTACAAGCAGCTACACACACAAACACACGTACATGCACGTCGCTGTATAAGTGCAATAATCTTGGACGCGACGTTTAACCCCATTTCACCTAATCTCACCGTGTTTATGGAATACTGTAAGGGACATTGTCGCGTTCTTGCGACACCTTTTGTATGCAAGCACAATGACAATATGCAAAAACATGACATTTGACCTTGACCCTTGGGTATTGCATGTCTAAGGGACACAACTCTGCACAGCATGTGTCCCCACTACTTATAGATATGTATGGAAGAGGCATATTCTTTCCATGGCATCAACATAATGAATCAGCGCTGATTATTAATGACATACTCCACTAGAAAGACAATGTGAAAAGTGAGAACAATCACATAATTTGTTGTAATTATTGTAAAATAAACGATATATATTTTCTTCGTGTTACAGCACCGTCAACAACCCAGCCACCGTCCGACTCATCCACCTCCCAACCGAATCTGGGTAAAGTTTTTACCAGAACGTTTGTGATGAATATGACATATTGTCTCCTTCGTCTTGCCCTCGTCCTGCTGTAACTCATACCCTGCTATATTTCTTTTACAGACGAGGCATTGTTTAAATTAGATTTGAAAATAGAAGTGAACGAGAATTTTATCCCAGACCTGACGAACAACACATCGCCAGAGTATGACAAGTGGAAACAGGAGCTTATAACTCAGGTAACGGTCTTCAAGAGATGTCAATCCTAAAATATAGCATTTTAATATGTTCGTATCCCAATAAACATTGAGTTTCCTATTTATTCAGTGAATGTTTCTTACCACTGTTAAAATACGGTACATATATCTGCAATATGGGAACCTGGGAACCCTGAACTTATGACGTCTGAAGACGTTGGAAACTCTTCTGGTCCGTGTTTTCAAATATATCGTCGGGGCATAGGTTTTCGGACGTGATACGTTTTCGGAAGGCCGTGGAAGGGGTGTGGCGTCACACATTTTAAACACTCAGATGATGGCCAGTTTTTAAGATAAAACCGTCTTTTATTAGTGAGTGAGATGTTTTACAGTTGTTCTTGTGATCAGTGAAAAAACTAAGAATGTTTCTTAAGCGTCCGAACACCAATAACATGGAGATATATAATATGTACCAGGCGGCACATATATACGAATACATTGCGAATTTCTTTTGCTTTTGAGAAAATAATATGGCAATAATTCCTAACTATACGCACATATAAAAAATGAAACCTTGTGGGATAACCAATTTCCGGATTAACGAATGACGGGCATGAGTTAATGTTTCTTTTGATATTGACCTTACCAACAAGATAGTTCAGAGGGCGTGGTCTCGGGAATAACCAGTTTTTCTTTCCACGTACATGCTGACTCCGATCATGCTTTGGAGTTTCAAATGGAGCGAAATACGTTCCTGTCGGAGGTGAGGTCTAAAATTGGCATGGAGTGTACATCGCTCTGTGGTAGATTAGGTCTAAAGTGGGTATTGGATGGTTATAATTACTGAGCAGGAATGGTACCCAGACAAGATCTCTTTGCGGCTTGGTTGACTTAGTATGTTATTATACCACAACGTCATCGTACACAGACGACGTGGCTCTTTGCTCACAGTATCATTCAAAAGGATTGTCTTTTTCCAGACACGATTATTTAAAGGCCGTAGCACACACACACTAACACACACTAACACACTAACACTAACACTAACACACTAACACACTAACACTAACACTAACACACTAACACTAACACACACTAACACTAACACACACACACACAGGCGATTAACGATGGCAAATGTTTACATATATACCAAGCGACATTGCCACGGTTCGTTAATCCAGGAATAATTGTCAATCATTGGTCCAGATTATTTACAGATACAGAATGCCGTCTTGTTACTGGAATATTCTTGAGTATGGCATTAAACAAACAAATGTATCTCCTGCTTGTAGTTGACACCGGTGTACACCAACATCCCTGGGTTCTTGTACGTGGAAATCACTGGCTTCTCGTAAGTATATCTTATTTCTCACTCCGGCAAGTCGACATCTATGCGGTCAAGAAAAAAGTCTTGAAATTATCGTCAGCATCCCCCCCCCCCCCCCCCCCCCCCTCCAACAGCCCCCCAAAACTTACGAATTCTCAAACATTAGTTTATAATTTTGTGTTCTTACATTTCTTGAACACTGTTCCACAAACTATCACGTTTGAAATTCTAAAGCCATGAATAGTGTATGGGCAACATATGCTTACCTTTTAGCGAACACCTGGTATCATGGCTATTTTATGGTGTTACATAGGCTAATGTCGCTTTTATTAAAAGAACTGACCATTAGATATTTAAATTTTGATTGATTGTCACTGAAAATGGGAAAACAATAATTTTGCCACAGGTTGTAAGAAGAAATGGATAATGAGAAAATAAGAGATTGAGTTAACTCGGATGCACCTAGAGAGAGAGGGTGGGAGAGAGAGAATAGGAGAGAGAGGGGGAGAGACACACAGAGGGAGAGGCAGAGAGAGAGGTAGTGAGAGAGAGAGGGTGGGAGAGAGAGAATATGAGATAGAGGGGGGAGACACACAGAGGGAGGGGCAGAGAGAGGGAGTGAGAGAGAGAGGGTGGGAGAGAGGAAGGAGAGAGGGATAGATTGGAAGAGAGAAAGATAGAGATCGGGAAGGTGGGAGAGTGGGAGGGAGAGAGAGGGGAGGGAGAGATGGACACAGAGAGAGAGGAGGGAGAGAGAGGGAAGGGAGAGATGGGCACAGAGAGAGAAGGGATAGAGGAAGATAGAGAAGGAGGAGAGCGAGAAAGGGAGAAAGAGAGAGAGAGAGAGAGGGGGAGAGACACACAGAGAGAGATAGGGAGAGAGAGAGAGAGAGAGGGGGGGGGTGGATACAGATCTTGATATGTCTTCTCATTGTACAGTGTCCTCGTAAAATGTACAGTTGTGCAGTATATGTTTAGTACTGGTTATGCGTTTCCATTTTAGGAGTTAACATGTGCCAAATACCCTTCTTTATGTATAAGGTGCGGACCAAACATATATATGAAACCTCCGTGTATGTGGGATGCATTTGTTTAGATAATAACTAAGGAATTACGAAGATGTAATGATCACCCGCCGTTTGTTACATCAGGCCAAGCTGAAGGCAGTTGTTTAAGTAATGCTTTAATCCCATTTGAAAATAAAAAGAGTCCCTCATTTCGATCAAAGGTGGTTCCTTGATTAACACAGTCATTAGAAAGTTTATCTATGTCAAATTCAAAAACAATAATAATTTGATATTGATCACTCAACCTAATTCAGACTCCTGTCAAGGAACTGTAGAACCAAATGCTGATTGTCTCCGATCCAACAGTGTAAAACATGTTCTGCGTCAATGCTCTGTGGTTCATGTGAAACAAACATTGCATTCATACTTTCAGAAATGGTTCAGTTATTGGCGAGTACCAAGTCAACATACGGGCAAATGTACCGGCCGATGACGTGCAGGATGCTTTCAATGGAACCTTCTTAACCGAGATGAACAACTTAACTATTTTTAACTTTCCCGTGGAACCATTTACCGATTCTAACGATCTCTCACAAAGTAAGTCCCATCTCTTTATTTAGATAACCTCTGAAGTAACAATACATAAAATAAAACTGTTTCAGATTGTGCATCAAATCGTCAAAGCGTTTGGGGTGTTCGAACGTGTATCTATCACACGAAAAGTGATTGAATCATACGGACCTACGCTCGTAGTGTAGGTATATACTTTCATCAGGAAAGGCTACGTGTAGTCTTGTTATTAATGCGTGAGCTCGTCATTAAAAAAGGTGCAGAAGGTCGGAACAAGCATGTCGAACACGAGATTTACATTTGGATAGTCCTGGCAAATAATAAGGTTAGGAATATGTCTAGAAATATTTAAAACTGGAACCTCATAGCTAGAAACTATGACATTTCCAGTTGGCCCAAAAAGGTCTTTATCATATATCGTCCTTTCACTACTGTAACTTAGGTCGAGACCGCCTCCGTGGTCTAGTGGTAGAGCGTCCGCCCGGAGATCGGAAGGTCCGGGGTTCGATACCCGGCCGCGTCATACCAAAAGACGTTAAAAGATGGTACTTGTTGTTACCCTGCTTTGCCCTCGGCATTAAGGGGCTAAAACAAGGACTGGTCGGCTCGGAGTCAGTATACTGTGTCTGAGTGGGGTATTCATGTTAAACTGCGGCATGGTATCTCAGTGAGCTAGCACTATAAATCGGCATCAGTTCGGTCTAGTACAAGCAGCCACACACACACGTGCATGCAAGTCGCTATATAAGTGCGATCTTGGACGCTACGTAGGCCTGGGTATGCCGTTCTCTCTCAAATGCCTCGGAATATCGTCAAAAAAACCTCTATTGCACCCCGCTTATTTCAATCTGTGGATTGCGCCATATCACATAATCTTGACATTATTCCTAACACGTAAGGGATCGTGATCTCCCGATTTATCCGTAAGTATGCCTATTGCTGTTGTTGTTGGTAGTAGTAGTAGTAGTAGTAGTAGTAGTAGTAGTAGTAGTAGTAGTAGTAGTAGTAGTAGGCACATGGACTGCCTTTATTTGTACATCTGGCTCTTGTTTCAGTTTCAGAAACTATTCGAGATAAATGCCAAGCGGTGGGAATATGCCTCAAAGGTTTCACCTGCTCTGGAGGTACAAGTCAACAGGTCACGTGCCGGTCAACGTGCACAGAGGTTGACTGTCTAAATGGACAGTGCCATATAACTTCGGAAGGAGACCGTGTATGCACGTAAGCAAACAATCATCCTGATCTGTCCTTGTCCATGAAGCAAAATATTACCATTTAGACATTTAGCAATATTCCAGCAATATCACGACGGGGGGCACCGGAAATGGGCTTAACATTGTACCCATGTGGGGAATCAAACCCGGGTCTTCGGCATGATGGGCGAATGCTTTAACCACTGGGCTACCCCACCGCCCCTTTTAAAGGGAGTGACCGTTGGTGGGTCCACTGTGACCCCCAAGGACCCGGAGAGCTGCAAAGAGTTGGACTAAGCTGTAATGTGTTAATCAATCTACGCAATTGGGATACGATGACGTGTACCAACCAAGTCAGTGAGCCTGACATCCCGGTCTCGTTTGTCAGGACATTATGCATATAAAGAACACGACTACATTTTGCCAATTGCCATGTTGCCATGTTTTGTTTGTTTGTTTGTTTGTTTGTTTGTTTGTTTGTTTGTTGTTTAACGCCGCATTCAGAAATGCCCCAGCTATATGATGACGGTCTTTAAATAATCGAGTCTGGACCAGACAATCCAGTTATCGATATCATGAGCATCGATCCACGCTATTGGGATACGATGACATGCATCAACCAAGTCGGCGAGCCTGACCACCCGATCTCGTTAGTCGGCATATTGACATGTACTCAATTGCCATACGGTTACAGGATTGCGATGTCAAACAGTCAAACGATCACGTTATTGAAACCTGAGTATCTAAATTGAACATGTTTTTATTCTGCATAAAAATCACTAATTAGTTGAAGATTCGTGTTTCCTCATTATACACGTAGGCCATATATTTACAGGTGTGATATATCGGAGGATTTCATATACAGCGGTGATAAATGCGATATTAAGACGGAAAAACTGTCCATGGAGATAGGCGCCATCGCTGGCATGGCAGGGGGACTTGGAGGGGGAATAATCCTGCTGCTTGTCATTGCCCTGGTGTTGACGTGTTGTTCCAGAAGAAAGAACAAGAACTCGAAAAAGTAGGTAGATGCTTTCTCTTTGAAACAAACAACGCATTGTTCAACCATCATGTTGTTCTTGGTTGAGTGACAATGAGATATTTAAAAATCTGGATAAATTGTATCACACATGTCGGAAGAATAATCTTCTATAAACCATTGCATAATGTTCTACAACCCGAATCACAACCCACCCGCCGCCCAACACCGATCCACTCCACTCCACCCAATCACCACCCACCGCACTCCGCTCCACTCCACCCCACTCCACTCCACCCCATGGGTTATTGTTACTTACGCCGCTCAACACCGATCCGCTCCAGCCAATCCCTACCCACTCCACTCCACTCCTCTCCACTCCACTCCACTCCATGGGGTATTATTACTTACGCCGCTCAACACCGATCCACTCCACTCCACCCAATCCCTACCCACTCGACTCATCTCCACTCCACTCCATGGGTTATTGTTACTTACGCCGCTCAACACCGATCCGCTCCACTCCACCCAATCCCTACCCACTCGACTCATCTCCGCTCCACTCCATGGGTTATTATTACTTACGCCGCTCAACACCGATCCACTCCACTCCGCCCCACTCAACCCACTCCTCTCCACTCCGCAGAGTTGATGATAACGCTCATAAAACCTCGACCATATAAATGTGTTAAAATCAGTCTTAAATCTTATTTTAATAAACATAAGTATTTCATTTCAGCAAAATAGCCACACATACGTTACAGTTTGGATGTATCGACATCTTCACAAAAGGTGACATTACAAATACAAACTAATACTAAAATACGACCTGAATACGAATAGAAGAGTTGTTCATCTATCTTGGTTCTGAATTTCTTCCCAGATACCGAAGTGAGGATGAGACCCAGCTGACTGAGTTTGAGGAGGATGTGTGGGCCACGGGGAAGCTGAACCCTGCCGCCGACACGAGAGAGGAATACGGCTACAAGGACGCAGGTGGTGAGGGCCGGAGCTATCAGTCCGTAAGTAACAACCTTGTGATAACGATATATACTTTGTTTGTTTTTTGTTTGTTTGTTGTTTAACACCACACTCAGCTATATTCCAGCTATATGACGGCGGTCTGTGAATAATCGAGTCTGAACCAGATAATCCAGTGATTGACATCATGAGCATCGATCCACGCAATTGGGACCGATGACATGCATCAACCAAGTCAGCGAACCTGACCACCCGATCCCGTTAGTCGCCTTTCACGACAAGCATAGTCGCCTTCTACGGCAAGCATGGGTTGTTGAAAACCTATTCTAGCCCGGATCTTCACGGGTCCGATATATACTTCTCAAAAGAAGTTACCGTTTTTTTCATATGACTGTTGTTAATCTGTCATGACACGACTATAGTCATATAAAACAATCGGGAGTTCTTTAACTTATTTTGAGGAGTACAGAATATTTGACATGAACAGTTAGATCACGGGAAGATCCGGGAGAAGAGCCTTAACTTACGCAGGTCTAAGACATGTACCACCCACGGATGTGGTGCAACAAAAGATCATCAAGGCGAATCCACGACCAACGGATCCTGGCAAAACAAATTCCTTTGCCACAGACGACTGGTTCATCCGTGCCGGTGTCACGAAATATATTCGCCCCCAGAATAAAATCTCCCCCCGGCGAATTTATACCGGTACAGTTCCGCCCCTCTCGAAATAAACTCTCCCCCACCCTACGAAATAAAATCTCCCCCCAGAATATTTCCTCCCCCGGTCGTTTTATAAATACTTGCCATGCAGTTCAATAGTTGATGTTATTTTGGGTTAGGTAATGTTGTAATCTATTTTTAGCCATTGATTCCATTACTTTGCATAAGTTTGAAGTTAGGGATATTGGTTTATATGAGTTAGCTTGATTAGCTGGTTTATTAGGTTTAGGGATTGGTATGACTAGGGTCTGTTTCCAGGGAGTAGGAACCTGTCCGTTTAGGTAGATGAGATTGTATAGTTTGAGTAGTGCCTGGAGTAGTTTTAGCTGGAGATTTTTAATTATTTGGTAAGAAGTTAGGTCTAATCCTGGGGCTGTGCCCTTTTTCCTGTTTTGGATTACATAGAGGAGCTCCTCCATTGTGAAGGGTTGGTTTATTGCTAGATTGTTATTGTTTGGTTCTTTTGTGGGTTTGTTTTTTGTTTTAAGTTTATCTTGGAATTTTTGGCTGAAGTTGGTGTTACTGCTAACGGCCGAAAAGTGGTTGGCGAGATTATTTGCTTTTTGGGCGGGGTTGGTTGAGTTGTTAATGTTAGGTTTTTTTATGACTGTCGTTTTAAGCCTCTAATGGCGTGGATTTTGCGCCAGACCGTTCTGGCATCTGTACGGTTATTTATACCTTGGTTAGTTGGACTAGTTTTTTAACCTGGTGGTTCAGTTCGTGGACTATGTTTAGATGTTTGTAGTCGCGTTTTGCTTTATTGAAGGCTGATTTACGTTTTCGTCTAGTCTGTTCTATTTCCTCATTCCACCATGGTACCGTGGGTTTGCCTAGCCTGTCTTAGATGTTTTGAAGGGGGTGGAGGTTTTGGCTGCGTTTATTATATAGTCTGTTAGGTTTCTACAATAGGTTTCTGGATCATTATTTTCTATTTCGTTTAAGTTAGCTTCGTTGCAGATATCTTGGAATTGGTCCCAGTTAGCTTTATTGTAATGGAATTTTGGTTCTTGGTTTTCTGTTTGGATTGGTACGTTTGTATTTCCTATGGTTATGTTTATGGGGAAGTGGTCACTACCTAGCGGGACGTCGTGCACTTCCCATAGAGTACTTTGAGCTAGATCTGCGGTGCATATGGTTAGGTCGATAGCCGACATTTTTTGGTTTATCTTATCGTACCTCGTGGGTTGGTTGTTATTTAGGAGTACTAGGTCGTTTGTTTCTATCCATTCGGAAATTAATTTGCCATGATTATCTATTTTATCATCTATGCTCCATGTAGGATGGTGAGCGTTAAAGTTTCCTAGGAATATAGTAGATTTATCGCTTATTTTGAGTAGTTTGTTTAGATCCTCAGGTTGGACTTTTGTTCCGCCCAGTGGTATATATTTATGATGTTTATTTTTCGGTTATATAATGTGATTTTAATGCCGTTGGCTTCTAGGTTTGGCGTGTCTATTTTTATTTCTTCGTAATTTATATCTTCCCTGATAAATATGATTAGTCCTCCTGCGGCTCTTCTTGTTTTTGGTTTAGCTCTGTCAGTTCTAACTGAGTTGTAGTTAGGTAGTGTGAATTTGGATTTTTTTGAGAATTTGGTTTCCTGGATACAAGCAATGTGAGGGCCTTTATTTAGTTTAAATTTAGTTTTTAGTTCATGGCCGTGGGAGGTGAGTCCGTTGGCGTTCCACTGAAAAATATTTAGTCCTTCCATTATTGGGTTCGGGTGATTGGTGATTGGTGATTTAGTTTTTAGTTTTTAGTTTTTAGTTTTTATTTTATTCGGTGACTTCTTTTAGATGGAGGTTTAAGAGAAAGAAGGGAAGATGGGTTAATTTTAGATTGAAAGCTACTTTGTGGAAGGATTTCATGCTAGCTTTTGGTGAGTTTTGACTATGCATGTATACTAGAAGTAAGGTTGGGTTATTTAGGTTTTCGGTGTTAGCTGGTTGGGGAGTTTTGCGGTTTAGTTTTTTCTTCCTTTTTGTAGCTGAGAGGGAAGTTTGGTTTGTTTTAGTTGGAGTAGTGTCTATTGTTTCCTCAGTAGTGGAGGAAATCTTCGTCATCGGTTAGATTAGGTTTAGCTGTTTGAGTTTCCATAGGGGAGGCATGTGATGTGGAGGGTTGTGTAGGTGTTTTCGGGATGGGTGTAGCTGTGGATTTCTTAGTGTTTGTGTTTTGTTGTTGTGCTTGCTTGTAGGGGAGTGTTGTTGCCATGTGGGCTGTAGGGTGCTTGGATGAGGGTCGTGTTGTGGCGGTCGTTTTGTGGCAGTATCCTCAGCCCCACCCTCTTCAATATAATGATAAACGATCTATTCGATGGCCTATCCCCTAAACTAAACATATCAAAAGTCGCGGATGATCCGCACTAAAAGCATTAAAAGCATTAAAATGGCCCAAAATTTACTCCAAAAATCTCTAAATAAAATACAACAATGGGCTGACAGATGGGGCTTCTCCCTTAACTCAGAAAAAACAACAGGAATAGTATTCAAACTCCCAAGTTAGAGCCAGTTAGGCATCTTAGGGTGTTTAGGTCTTTACTGCATTTAGTTGTTAGGTTTTGGATGTGAGCATCCCAGGTGAGATGTTCATCGAAAATAAGTCCTAAGAATTTGGTTTGTTTTTGAAATTTGATTGTTTGGTTGTTTAGCTGGCTTCTGATAGAGACGATGTTTAGTTTATATGCTAGTCGTTAGGTATAAAGATTGTTTAGTAACTTTAGAAGTTCTAGGACAGTTATTAACACGTGTCGTGTCAGCCCTATGGCATACACGATTGTCCACTTCCAGAAAACATCCTGTGTTGGTTTAACATGAATTAGTAAAGGTTAATTAGGGATGTCCAACACGTTAATTAATGTCAAAACACTGTCATTTCCTGCCCATGATATCACACCCCTACACGCTAAGGTCGGTGAGAAACATTCTCATCAAAGAAAACACACAGTCAAGACTGTAGATTTCCGTCGTCTAGCTACAAATCCTGTGATGTATTAAAGGTTGAAGAATTTTGAACTGAACTGTCCGAAAGTTTATATCTAAAATTTTGGGATTGGATACAGTGATAAAGTCTTATATCAATATGTAGATTCATAAATATTGGTTTTATGTTTTAACGGAGATATGATGTTTTCTTATGAAATATCGTGTATTAGTGTAATTTGCATGCTTTACCATTCATTGTACCGTTCTAAACCATGTGAATGTTGTAATATCAGTCAATCGGGTGGGAAAACAGCCCAATCCTCGCTCTATAAAGGGGTATGTCAATCATTTTGCAAGTTGAAATGACCCCTGATACTTTATGAATACTTTATGACAGTTTATGGAGTCAAAATCAATGCTGATTATTCATAAACGTAATGCTTCGTACTATAGGCCTGTGGCCTCTTCAGTGCTGAATAAAGATTGAAAATACATCAGTCAATCAAAGATGAAGGTAACTTTATACATCAGAGTTCTTGAGAATTAGTTCATGTTTTGTTCTTAGACTTACATTTCAACCATCGATTGTGTTCACATGTAGACTCAAACTGGTATATTAAAAAATGTATACAGACAACAAAAACTGTATTAGAAACAACAAACTCTGTAAACTTTTAAGCATAGTTTTTGTATAGCATTTCAAAAGCCTGGTTTGTTTGCATTAAAATCAAAACAAAGGAATCTGTAATTAAAATGTGTAAGGTGAAAAGCTTTTACATAAAAGAGCAAAATACATGGGGGAGAGTAAATATATAATTCTATATAACTTTTCTTGAATGGAGCACAATTGAAAAAAAAGATAATCCAAGCATATTCGATATTACTGTGTTTAAAGAATTTATATCAGTCATATATTTCTAACTTAGATCACCCGTATGTAATCCAGGTAAAGCATGCATAACGGGGAACATTGTAATGTTGGTACAGTTTATCGTGTCTTCGTGCTTTAGCATTACACATTTTCATATTCCTCTAGGTTTTAATGTTTATTTGTTTATGTTATTTTTATTTATTTTTTTCTCTCCTTTATTTTTTCTGGGTTATATATTAATCTAAATATACATTTAGTTACTTGTGTGTGTGTGTGTTTGTTTGTTTTTATTTGTTGATTTTGATTTTTATTGATTTTGCGGGGGGGGGGGGGGGTCTTTTCGGGTGTGGGAGGGGGGGGGGGGGCACTTTTCCTTTTGTTTTTCATAATCATATTTTTTTTAAGTTGTATATAACGTATGAATCCCTTCTCAGATTCACCGCCAGCCCGATTGTAACAATTACATGATCACTTTGCTTTGTCGATGCCGGTTGATGTTGTTCAATCCAGGCTGATAGTGGGTGTTTTTGCATCTATTCTACATGCTAATCATTTCGGGTAGATGATACACATTTCTCTATATTTTGGGTTACTTTGCTTATATAATTTCCGATTATCATTCTTAGTTTTACTTTTTCTCTTCTGTTGCGATGATATCCATCCGAATCCAGGACCTTTGCATAGTCCAGATTTAAAGATTATATCTCTAAACGTACGCAGTCTTAAAGACAAAGTAGATTTTATCAGTGCTGAATTAGATAGTTATGATGTTGTATGTTTAACAGAAACCTGCTTGCACCATGATATTCTAGCCACTGATATTACACTGATACCATTTTCATATCGTATACGTAGCCTGTATTAAGGAATAGATTTTAGATCTAAAATCAGAGTATTAACGGACAGCCTGGGCTGGAGGCGCGCGTGGATATATTGACAGTTTTTACGTAGTTAGTGTTAAAACCGAATGTTTGCGAGGATTAATAAGATTTCTGAATTCTGTTACAACAGTAACCGTACATGTATTTGTTACATTAAGTCATTTCATTCAAATTTGTTTGGTATGATTATGTCTTATAATTATTTTAGGATGGAAGGTACAGCTACCAAATAAAATATGCTGAAATATCAATTCATTATGACCATATTTCAAAATCTATTTTTTAAAGTAACCCTCCTTACATTAAAGATAACTCTTTAAAGAATATAGTACTTAAAGACATTGCAACAAACCGAATAATCAGGGGGGAGACTTTATACTGAGGGGGGCGCGAAACATATCCGCCCGGGGGAGATTTTATTTCAGAACAGATTCTCCGGGGGAGAATCTGTACCGGTATAAAATCTCCGGGGGGAGAATTTGTACGGGGGAGAGTTTATACCGGGACACCGGCCAACATTAAGAAGCTCCCTCGCCATTTGCTTTCTAGAGTTAATCCTGTACTTTCAGGCCTATGAACGTGAACTCAATGACAGATTACAGATGATCCGTTTTGTTGAAATATGAAACTCACTGACAAATTATCACGGGTTTCTTCTAATAACAGTGGCTGATGCAGCAAGAACAACAAGAACATGGTTCCACGGGACAAAGCAGAGCAGACGACTTCCGTCAGGCCACTAATGGCGGGTACCGTGGCAGTGGTAACAATGGCAATGAGAGACTTGAGTGGGACCAGATGGAGCCTGCCGCCATATTTGGTATGTGTTCTTATTGTTAATTAATGACATAGCTGTGTGTTTGAAATAAGTAAATGACTTCAAAAATTATTGTAAATCATATAAGATAACTATAGGTGCATTCTCAAGTGTGAAGTTTTAAACAGATACTCTTTTCGTTTTTCGCTGATAGAGTCAGGTAGCCTACACACTCCCGCGCCAAATGTTTCCAACTTTTGACGTTCTCCTATTGGTTTCCTCGTTATTTCAGAGCAGCTTTTTTATCACTTTTTTTATAATTATTAACATAAATGCATAAAGTTTGTCATATAGGCAAAGGTTATCTATAAGCCATTAACATAATTTCCATATTAAAAATATATACTGATACTTGGCACATGATATACGATAGTGACAATTAAACTAGGTTTCGACAGAAAACAGGCGCTACGTTCTCTGTTATCATAGGAGCAGTGGTGTTATTTAACAAACATGTATGCCAGTTGTTTTACCGTCAAATGTTAATAGTAAACATGGTAAACGCATATTATACCAAAATTATATAAATGTGGTTGTAATGATGCTATTTTATGACACAGAATACCTCGAACAAGATCGAATTAACAGTTTGATTCTGAAATTTAATTTTGCCACCTTACTATAACATCGAATTATATCATACTTCTCATCTCACGGAATACGGTTCTTTCACACACACACCCCCCCCCCCCCCCCCCCCCCCCACCAACCCCCTCCCCCTTAGCAGTTAAACACAACCCTCAATTTGTTTAGACCGTAAACGCGTCCAAATTATGGGACAAGGTACGTGTGTAGGTTTTGTTTTAGTATCTAAACACATTTTACAGTGCAGTATGTGATTAACAAAATGATGGCAGCAGAAGTATGTATGATCAACTTCTATATTATACTTGTAATTACCTTTCGATGTAAATTCTTACACCTTTATCAAGCATATCATCTACGTCGAAACGTGGTTTCAGCTGTGGGCTGTAAACGACATAATCGAACCAACTTTATCAAAATATCTCAATACCACTCAAAGATCTGATGGTTCACTAGTTTAATGCTACCAGTATCCATGATATCACAAGCGGATAAGGATCTCGGGACAGGACATCCATCATGTCCATATAAAATGATCTTTGCAGTTATACGTGTGGCCAAAATTACCCTTTTCAGCATATATTGGAGAAATTATTAAAAAAGCTATAAAACATCCGAAACCCTTAATATCCAATCGTCAGATCCTAACTAATTATATATAACACGCCGACGCCAGAGTATGAGCAGTTTCGATTATCCGCCGAAACAGATTAAGTAAACAAACCAGATAAACGTGTGGTGGTCCAGATAGTAACGCCATAGAGCATTTACTGATTTTGTTAATAATGAACGTTTTGTTAATTTTGAATTATTTCTCCTGTGTACATAGCCACGAATATGTGTCTCTAAATATATTTACAGGTCAAGCCCTGAAGCGGGGATCTTCTGACCAGGCGATTGGTCACTACATGACCCCCGATGACTTAGCTCCAGATTACGACAGTGATGACGGACAGTTTGATGAGGAGGACACACATAATACTAGTCGGTAAAGGCACAAAACGATTAAGGATTGACTGTATATTTTGCCGGTTCATTGAGGTGTGAATAGAAGAACTGTATGAATCTGCGTATCAAGGGGCTATCATGCCTTCGTTCATTCGATAAACAAAACTTCAGGGTAAATATACACAAAGCTTGGTCTCGGATATTACCGGATCAAGATAAAGTGAAATTGCATATCATTACCATGTAAATGCTCAACAACACAATCTCCACACGGGAACAATGTTTGCTGCTATTGTGTATTAATTTTCAATTTAGATCAACCATGGCTATGAACTATATCAATCATGGCTATAGAACAGAAACTTGAGCTAGATTTCAAACAGTATAGGTCAGAGTATAGGGCAGAATTTACTTCAGTTCGAATAATGGCGATTTTTCAAAGGTTAGATGTTGGAATGCTCTCAAAATAGTTGATATCAGACATTTATCGTAAATGTACACCGCCATTCTGATATGCGGTTTTCTTTTGCAAAAAATCCTTATGCACACCCAAAAGTCAAACACGTTATTTGTCCAACGTGTGGCAAATTAAATAAAGGAAACGTATGTATAGTCAGTCAATTTACCTTAAATGTTACGAACTCTCAGTAAACAATTGGAATATGTCTTAATAATTATACAATATTGTATATTGGGGTCATGGTTAAAGTCCTTTCCTTTTTTACATACTCTAGGGATGTGGAGAGCGATCGCCCTGTGACCCGTTTACCCCCTGGTCAGTCCAAGCCACGCCCATTCAAGGACAACTACAGACAGGAAGGTCTACACGCGGGCAATCAACCAATGAAATCTCAGCAACGCCCGTTCAAGGACGACAACAGACCGGGAGGTCAACCGGGGAGTCAACCAATGAAATCCCAGCAACGCACGTTCAAGGACGAGTACAGACAGGAAGGCCACGAGGATAAACAGCAAATGCAACCCCAAAAACGTTTGCTGAGCACGGATTACAAACAAGGACAGCCTGTATACAATCACATTGAAACGGATGAGACGGTGAGAGAGATGCGCATAAATTGTGGGAAACTCACAATCAATAAATTGCAATGATTCCGTGGCATTTGATTTGCTAACCAAACAAAATCTTTTGCGTTCATGTTTCCATAAACCGAAAAAAATAGGCCACCCCCATTATTGGACTACTATTTCCTGATTGGCTGATAATGGAATGGGCGGGGCTTGTGTTGTATTATTGCGCTAAACGATGTCACTGATATCGTTTTGTCGTCCATAGTATCTAATTACTTATCACGTTGTCCCACACCTCTTTGGTAGCTGTTTACAAAGCCTCCAGCTGCAGAAACAAGTTGATCCGAGAATCAAAATTAACTTTCAAATCAGCGTAAAATGGCAAAATTTGTCTACATTTGTTAAACTGGGGAGATTTCTGATTGGCTCATATTTTCCTCCAATACAATCGGTGCCGTGCCATGGCATTGTAATGCGATGAAGTAACTGATAACGATGACTGTCTGTTTTAGCTAACTGATAACAATAATTGTCTGTTTTAGCTAAATGGTAACGATAAATTGTTTAAGCTAACTGATAACGATAACTGTCTATTTTATCTAACTGATGACAATAATTGTCTGTTTTAGCTAACAGGTAACGATAAATTGTTTTATCTAACTGATAACGATAATTGTCTGTTTTATCTAACTGATGACAATAATTGTCTGTTTTAGCTAACAGGTAATGATAAATTGTTTTAGCGAACTGATAACGATAACTGTTTTAGCTAACTGGTGACGATAACTGTTTTAGCTAATTGACGATAACTGTTTTAGCCAACTGATAAAGTTAACCGTTTTAGCTAACTGATAACGAGAACTGCCTGTTTCAGCTAACTGATAACAATAACTGTCTGTTTTAGCTAACTGATAACAATAACTGTCTGTTTTAGCTAACTAATAACAATAATTGTCTGTTTAGCTAAACTTTATTGACTTACGATGTGTTTTCTGTTACAGTACGCGATCAGAAGACCAACATTCCACAAACCCTAAAATACATCCACGGTAAGAAAAGGGGCAAGCGTTTGTGCTGTGACCTATCGATTAAAATAACAATTTATAAATCCGTCACATCAGCTCGAATATGTGCAATCAACCATATGTAATATGTGGACATATGTTCGGTCATAAAGCACACATTTCAGACAGATATGAATGTGAATCTGCTTAAATAGCAATTTGATATCCACCACATAAAAAGTCTACAAACCCAAAGTATCTTCATGAAGATAACAAGTTCATGTTTTCAGAATAATCAACTCTTGTTTACACGTTTACAGAACACACAGTTCCCGAGGACCCTTTCACGGTACAGACATCTGGTTTCCACTGTTCCCCGCACAATGGCATACCAACATAAGTATAGAGGGAAACGCCCTGGATTGCCACATCCCTGGCAGTTTGTGACGGGATTGTTAGACGACTGCTGCTCAGTATTTGTTGTCCATGTACACAAGTGCAGCATTTTCATAACTGACGAGCTCAAAACCTCCATTGAAAGTATTATAAAACAAGGAAAAATCATGCATAACTCTTAATCGCGATCACGGTAAAACTGCATCACATTTTGTCAAAATTCCGATTAACGTATCTATTTGTCAGTAAAAGTGTAAGAAAACTGCATCACATTGTTGAAATTCCGAATATCATATTTAATACGCCAGTCCATTGTAATAAAACTGCATCACATATAGTTCGCATATCTACATAATGTAATATACTGAACCGCAAAGAAACGTCACCCAAAGTAACATTGCATGAAAAGTTGTCATTTAAATATCTGGGTAATTTATGTCAAAGTTTCTTTAATTTAACATTACCTTGTCCGGAAAAAATGAAATTTGATTATAAAAAAACAAAGCAGATGACAATAAAACCGATCGCCCAAACGCATCACGGCAAAGGACATAGTAACCCGATGCACGTGAGTTCCGTGCAAATTCAAATGCACATGCGTTGCCCCATTTCTTGCCCTATAAAAATCCACCAAGATCGGATAACATTCATTCGTTATTGAATTGCTACCACATGACAAGATTGACAAGAAATCGGCGACACCAAGGCCCGATTGCAAGCTGGACAACCTGCCCGGCAAGTAGCCAATGCATTTCAAGTCCACGTAAGGACCATATACAGGCTCCAGCAACGGTACCAGACCACCAACACTACAGATGACCGACCACGTAGTGGAAGACCAATCGTCACCACCCGACGTCAGGATCGTCAGATTGTGCGAAAGCATCTTCAAGATCGCTTTGTTACTGCTTTGGAAACTGCTCGACAGACCATGGGGACACACCAGCGACACATTAATGCGGACACCGTGCGTAGACGATTGACGAGCAGACACCTCAACTGTCACAGGCCACGCCGAGGACCCATTCTGACACCACGTCATCGCCGGGACCGTCTTCAGTGGGCAACACAGCATCAGCATTGGCGCCACCAGCAGTGGAGAAGAGTCCTCTTCTCAGACGAGAGCCGTTACTGTATCTCAACAGCAGAGTGCAGAGGGGGAGTCTGGCGACGCCTTGGGAAACGTTATTCGGATGCCTGTGTTGTTGAGAGTGACTCGTGGGGTTGTCCGCATGATAACGCCCGTGCCCACACTGCGAGAGCAACAAGAAACTTCATCCAGCAGAATGGTATCAGAACCATGCAATGGCCTGCCCTCAGTCCGATTTAAATCCCATTGAGCACCTGTTCCTCGGGGTGTGGGCTCAAGTGCCTATGGCCCTCATCCACCGCCTCAACCATTCCATGTATGCACGGCAGTCATCAATGCACATGGCGGACACACGAGATACTGACTTGTGGTGCCATTTTCTCAGAGACTATTGTTGTGTTTCACTTTAAGAATATTTGACACTTCAATTTCAACCTTGATGATCAGTTTTGCCAAGTTTCATCTTTTTAATATGTCTCAAAGTATGTTTACAGTGTTTGGACAAATAAGGTTTCTCATATATCTATCCATGGTGACGTTTCTTTTGCGGTTCAGTATATATCTCGGTTATAGTATAAACAGGTTTCTTCTTGACGTGAAAAGTACTCCATTTCCATGTTCTCCCTGGGGCGTTATTGGTACACTGCTACCTATGTCGTACATAGAACATATCTCGAGCAAATCTTTGAAAGACTGTGTCACATATGCATAGTATGTATCGTGCATACTCAGCTGTGAATTACTGCTTCTCGTGTCATGCAAGGTTCATATCCAGACCTCCTCTTTGAAGGACTGCTTCATACGTATATATTCTCAGTAAATATCTACAGCTCATCCTTGAATCATTGCTTCATTTATCATGCATATTATACATATCCAGACCTCCTCTTTGAAGGACTGCTTCATACGTATATATTCTCAGTAAATATCTACAGCTCATCCTTGAATTATTGCTTCATTTATCATGCATATTATACATATCCAGACCTCCTCTTTGAAGGACTGCTTCATATGTATATATTCTCAGTAAATATCTACGGCTCATCTTTGAATTACTGCTTCATTTAGCATGCATATTACACATACCAAGATCTTATCTTTGAAAGACATCACATCTCATACAACTCTATCGTTCTAAGCACTGTAACATTTTGCAAATGAAGTCTTGATATACATTGTTCATCATCCTAAAAGGACACATTTATTGATTTTATCAATGATGTAATTTGATTCTGCAATAAATATGAAAAGCTGACGAGTTGTTAAAATTATAGAAATCGCATTTTCCCTCTGAGGTCATCCTGAGGTTCATCCTTCAATTCAATCGGATTCCGCAAGGGTCCGCTGTGGCTGTTTGACCTTGTCACTCTCCCAGAACAGCCGTACATTGTCTCAACGTAACCCACCACATAATCATACAGAAACTGGCACACCATCTGCAACTTCCAACCAAACAGTTTCAGAATCTGACATACCATGCGTCGTCTATCGTGCTAATCGACTGTTTAATGATTCGCCTTCAATACAAACCCATTTTGAGAAATATGTGGTCAAACGTGTAAAAGATGTTGGTTGGTGTCTCCTTTGGCAAGTGACTTTGTTCGACATATGTGACTGTTAACCGTCTAGCGTCAGCTTGGGTTGTGTACTCCACTTATAAACCTATCATGGTGTTGTAACCATCTCCCAGACGACCTTTCTTTTGTAGTAAGACCACTCAGCAGGTTTTACAATTGCTCCTCAGGTTTTACAATTGCTCCCCAGGTTTTACAATTGCAATTGTAATTGTAAAACCTGGGGAGCAATTGTAAAACCTGACAAAGGGTCACCAAAACGGAAACAAAAGTCATCCTCATCCTTTTCTGCAGAATTTTCATCAATTAACTTACTTTGAGTAAGGAAAATATCGTCATCGTCAGACATCCTCTCTTGTGAACAGTCAACGACACAATGCCATGTGGTACGACGCACGCGGTTCTTTCTGCACGTACAGCCCTCTTCTGCATGTGCAGTCCGCGCAGCGGCCCGCGATAACAACTGTTATAAAGCGTGTCTCGTTATACCGCGCTTATTTGCGACGCAATTGGGATCGATGACATGCATCAACCAATTCAGCGATCCTGACCTCCCGATCCCGTAAGTCGCCTTTTACGACAAGCATAGTCACCTTTTACGGCAAACATGGGTTGCTGAAGACCTATTCTACCCCGGAATATTCACGGGTTTGCCATAAAAAGCAGAAGTTTTGGTGCAGAAGTACATGGTCGCGGTAAGCAGCAGCGTTGATGTTGCCACGGATGACAAGAAGCCTGGAACGTGCATTGCCACAGAAAGCACCCCACACCATGACACTTCCGCCTCGAAATCTGTCAACTTCCTGCACACAACACTGGGCGTAACGTTCATGACGTCGCCTCCACACCCTCGCCCTACCAACAGCAAATCGAAGATTAAATCGGGATTCTCCACTGAAGACGACTTGATTCCAATTCCTCTGAGTCCATCGTAAGTGTCGCTGTGCCCACAATTGACGTTGACCTCTGTGTAATTGAGTCAGAATCGGCCCGCAGTATGGCCGTCGTGCTTGAAGGTGAGCAGTTCTCAGACGGTTTCGAACAGTTTGCGCACTCAGTCTACCCCTAAACAGTTCATTTCTGGTTGATGTAGCCGTCAAAAATCGGCTACTGAGGTGACGTAAAGACAATCTATCGATCCTCTGCATGTGACGTCACACATGGTCGACCTGGCCGAGGGCGATCAGCGGTGGTACCCGTTTGCTGTAGACGCGTCTGTAAATCACAAACAGTCCGTCGACTACAACCCATCGTCCTTGCGACTTCAGCTACGGACGTTCCCGTCTTCAACATGCCGATGGCACGTTCATGTTGCACATTTGAAAGACGTGGCATGACAAATGGCCGTAAAGACTTTTGTTTTTTTGTGTTTTTCTTTTTTTTATTAATGACTGCTAACAAGTATGGCTGAAAACACGTGCGGTATTATGGCCACGTGACCAGTTGCACGTGGAAAACCACTTTTGCCACTATAGTGCTGTGCACATGATTTTGATCGATTCACCTGCACAAAAACGGTTGTTATCTGAAGACAATACGTGGCCATTACTGTTTAAATACACAATAAGGGCCCACAATGATAACTGGTCAAAATGTTAAAATTTTAGGACTGTGAAGTTTTTAATTTGGTTCAGTATATGTAAAGGCAAGTTTCTTCCCTTTGTTTAGTCAGCAGCTTTCCTCCTGGCTATGAATGTGGAACACAGGCTTTAGGGTTACATATGAATCTTGTTATCATTGTATTTTAATGCGATTTGAATATTATTATTTACTATCGTACTTTTTTCATGTTTTAAATGAGACGTTTTATATTTATATGTCACCACAAATTACAATTATTGCTTGTACGTTCGACACAATTGACAAATGCTCTAAAAGATATAACTAGTAAACCATTAATGTACGTTGAAAATGCCCGTGAAAACAACACTGCTTTAGCTCAATGTTAAGCACTCCTGGCGGCCATTATGCAACGGCCATCTTACACACAACCCCGCGCTCACGTCTACAGGTCTCTTCCTGTGGTACGGTAATTAGTAGAACCCTCTCCCTCAAGTGTATCCTCCATGATATAACCTACTCTCATTAATTAAATGCTGCCCTTTCCCAGCGTCACGGCTATGGAGCTGAGACAAAGAGACCCAACCATCATAAAATAATTAGGGTCCAATGAAAACAATGCTCCACCAAACCTCATAAACATGATCACTGAAAGTCGTACAACAGACTTTTAATGTCAAATCACAAAAAAAAACCATTTGAATAGCAATAACATTTAACAGGATCATGTATTCTCTTAACACCATCGGAAAACATCATGTAGAAGCCACAACAGTACTCCTCATATTTTCCAACAAAATCACATCTAAAAATGAGATATCAGCAAGAACATAAAATAAAATGTGTGTTAACATTTTTCGTCAGGAAATCAAAACGTTATCGCCTTGTTACCACGTCTAGGTTCAGCCTGCATGGTCGGACGCAGAGTGTGATAGACTGAAGTCGGACAAGTATTTTGAACTGGATAGATTCAGAGACACGGATAGAGATGAAGATTACCAAGTATATAAACAGCACAGACGAACCTTTAAAGAATTATGCAAACAGAAACAAGATGAATTTCAGCGTTCACTCAGAGATAGATTTAATGAGATAAAAAGTGATAACAACAAACTGTGGAAGGAAATCAAGAAAAGAAAATGTTGCAGGAAAACAAACAGTATCAGTTCTTGGGGATGGTTTTCATATTTCCAGAATCTATTAAATTCTCCCCG